AACAAACGTTTGTCAAAAGCAATGAATTAAAAGAATATAATATAGGTGGTAAAACCACCCAAGTCTATAAAATACAGTAACTTCTTGCACAGTGGTCACCATCAGTTAAAGCCAGTCTATCTAAGACTGAACAAGCCACATCTGGATTCGAACTCTACCAGCAAAATCCTATTCAAGGAACTTACCTTTTCATTCTAGTACCTTTCCAGAAATACCTGTAATAGCACGCGTTAACCAGAATATTAATCATTAGCAACACAATACAATAACCGCCTTGATATAGTATTTCCAGTTGTATAGCATTTCCTCTTTTCAAAGATTTTTCTCATTTTAATTTATAGTCCAACTTTGTAATATATATCGGCAATTAAGAGTAAGTAAAAATCTCCTCTTTGAGGGACAGTTAAATAGGAACCTAAAACATAACTAATTAACAACAAAATTAGCACCAGAACAATTGATTTCGCCCCAATTCCCCAAATTGATCACAGCCGGGGTTCTGTAAAGAGGAGTGTTCAAGCTAGCCTCCCCAACCCAAGCAATCGCAGAGGACCACCTCGCAGATGCTAAAACCCCAAAGAGAAAAGGACCAAAAAGTGGGGGTCAAAGGGCCTGTTTTGCGTTTTTTAGGGGGTCCGCCACGGCGGTGCCCCGTTTAGCGAGCGGGCCCAGCTTGAACTAGTCTCCGGTCCGCGGTTCCCGGGCCGCAACTTCATAGCGGAGAAGCGCGGGGGCCTGGAAGCGAAGGAGGACTGCGCCCCGCTCCCTTCGGGCTGCGAGCACCGAGCTTACCTGGGCAGGACTTGCGTAGATGTTTCTCTAGCAGCGACTCCTCCAGCAAGAACTCGAACCAGCTGGTCTGCGGCGGGGTGCAGGGCCGACTGGAGGTGGCCGCCTCCCGGTCCGCCGCCTCCGCGCTCATCCTGCCCCCGCCGCCGCTACCCCCAGGGACGCTTCCCGGCTCCAACCTGACCCTGGGACCCGGGACCCGGGCCTGTGATCTTCGGAACCGCTTGGAACAAAGCCTCAATCGGACCCTACCGGAAAACCACCCAAAATGGCGGCGCGGCCCACCCCCCTCACCACGTCCACGCCAAGGAGAGCTCTGGGATTCACCTCCTAGTGCTGTCACGCCTCCGACCAATCAGTTCCAGTCAGAGAGAAAGAAGGCGGGACCAGTCCGTAGGCCACGCCTTCTCCGGTTCCCCTGGGAAATGATTGGGAGGGAGCTGGGTCGCAGCTGCTTTCGCGGCTTTCGGCTCGTTTTGCAGCTAGCAAAAGAAGCAAACTCCTCGAGGGTTGCAACGAATCTCAATGTCTTCATAAAAGATAATGAACATTATATGTCCATACTGTGAGTCAGGACGTGTTATCGAGGCACCAGTGGTAGCAGCTGCTCTTTGAGTTTCGCTATGCTGTCCAAGGACAAGAAGAAAGATGCTGGGAAGTCCGCCAAGAAAGACAAAGACCTAGTGAACGACTCTAGGGACAAGGCCAAAAAGAGGTGCAAAGGCAAAGTTCGGGACAAACTCAATAACAGGAGTAGCTTTCAATATTTAGCGCTTCATTAAGCCTCTTGATATCCCCGTTAGACGTACTTGTTAACCTTATTTTACATTTAGCTCCATTTGGAAATGTTCTTGTGGGGTTTTCTTAGATTAATAAATAAAATGGGGAGAAAAGTTTTAGATCGTACACACACTAGTGCAACTGTAGCTTAAGCTACTTAACCTCTGTGAACCTTAGTTTTCACATTTATAAAACAGGAATAATAACAGTGCCTAATCTTAGGGGTGGTAAGAAAATTAAAGGCACAAGTTGGAATAATACAGGTAAAAGAGATAACGCAGGTAAGCTTTTAAAACAGGGCCTGACACCTAGTAATATAAACAATTAGAAACTAACATTGTATAGTGAGTGCCTTTAAATCTGCAAATTATTTTCATATACATGCTTCTAATTTTCTCCTGTAAACAAACCCTGTTATACACCTTCTAACCAATGAAGAAAGTAAGGTTCCAGAGTTGTGATTTGCCCAAGGTTTCCCAACAAGAGGCTGAGCCAGGGCTTTGGTGACATTCCCAATGTACCCACGCTGCTTCCAACCCTGGGTAGAGTGGACAAGAATGATGGCTATGGTCTTTTCAGATGGAAGAGGGAAGACTTTGAAAGTTATAGAAGAAATAAATGGAAGTAGCTCCTCCATTTTTTAAAGTAAATTGAGTATGTCGATGGTAACCATTGCCTTGTTATTCTCTTTCTGCACATTTTTCTGGGCTGTGCACTGCCCCCCCCTCTTTCATTTTGGTACTTACCGGGGTCCTATTCTTAGTCCTCATTGTAAAAACCATCCTGGTCACTCCCTGCCCCACTCCTACAATTCTAGCTCTTGAGCACACCTATTCTCCAAACTCTCAGTGTCCGCTGGACATTTCCATTTTGAACCTCACAAGCAGTGCATACTAAGTATTTCCAATGTGAATTTCAAACCTGCCCCTTAGCTGTGCTCTATTTTGATAGAGGATGGAGACATAGGTCATCTACACCTGTCACTGGAGCCAGAAATGTGGGAACCATAAGGGGGGTGGAAATGGGAGGAAGGTGGAGGGCATAGGGGGTGGGCTGGGATGGGAGTAAAAGACAGAATACTGTAGTTGAAAAATAATTAAGTTAATAAAAAGAAATGTGAGAACCATTCTTTCTCCCCTTCTTTTATGTCTAACATGAATAAAGCATGCCAAATCTTTACAAAAATAATGATTTAAACTCCCTATTGATATTTATTAGTTTAGGCCATCATGTTTTTATTAGTATAATACATGATGTCCAAACCATGTTCTTTACAGTCCAAGGGGTTCCTTGGAGCCCCTTTAGAAGAGAAAAAAACCTCTTTGGGGTGAGTGTATCTGGAAAGGTTGCACACAGCACTCTGAGCTGACCACGCCATGTTTCAACCATAACTTATCTATTTTATTGTTTACATAACCTAACTCTTCCCTAGCTGCTCATACCTCTTCATTTCCCTATTCTGACCTCCTCCCATAATTATATTAAAGTTAAATTTATTGCCCTGGCTGGTGTGGTTCAGTGGATTGAGCCCTGGCCTGGGAACCAAAAGGTTGCCAGTTTGATTCCCAGTTAGGCACATGCCTGGACTGCAGGCCAGTTCCTCAGCTGGGGCATGTGAGAGGCAACAGATCGATATATCTCTCACACATCGATGTTTCTCTCCCTCTCTCCCTCCCTTCCCCTCTCTCCATAAAGAAATAAATAAAATCTTAAGTTTATCTTGGGTGATTATATTTATGTAACCTACTTCAAAATAAGAAAGGGAAATACATATGTACATAAAGCCCTTTATCTGGTTTATGCCACAACACCTTTGCATAGTAGTCATTACTTCCTTGAAAAAGAAAGATTTATAAAAGAGAAACTATTCCTTCTACTTGAATCTCCGTACCTCTTATCAAATTCTTGTTCATCCTCTAATCAGGTACTTTCCAGATTTGGCTGAAGGAAGTTTCAGGAAAATTAGGAAGTCTCTATTCTTTTAGGTAACACTTATCAGAATTCATAAATGATTCTGATGTGTTAATGTACTAATGAAATGTATTAGTGACTTATTTATAATAAGTCACTAATACTTGCCTTATTAACCAGACTAGAAAAATAAGGAACATTTTTCTTCCTTCCTCCCTGCTTCCTCCCACCCAGAATTACTTCCTGAGATCTACTCTGTGGCAGGATATACAGTGGGAATGAGAATAGCACTGCTCTTGGGGAATTTGTTAGGATATAGGTAAGACACTCCTGTCATATGAAGTTTGTCCAGAAAGTATCCAACCATGTAATATGAAAATAGAGACATTTATTGAAGAAGGCACAAGATATAAGAAACACTGTATATAGGACAATGATGCCTCAGTCCCCTTCAAAGTAGGCACATTGGGACCTCACATAGTTCTTCCAGCATCTCTTCCACTGTTCAAAACACTTTGCAAAACCTTTTGTTGTAAACAGCTGCCCTGTCATATTTTCCTGACTCTCACTGAAACTCTGAAATCTCTTTCCTTTCAAATGTGATTTTAGTTTTGGCAAAAGCCAGAGGTCACAGAGCACCAAATCTGGCCTGGGGCTGGAGGGGGGGGCTGAGTCCCCTGCGTGGTTTGATGTTTTGCCAAAAAATTCTGCACGAGAGGTGATGCATGATCAAGCACATTGTTATGATGAAGCTGCCAGTTACCAGTTGCCATAGCTGCAGCTGTTTTAGTTGTATTGCATCTGTCAACCAACGAAGAACATTGAGGTAGTACTCCTTATCCACATCCAGGTTTGGCCTAGAGTGACATATCCATGATGCACAACACTTTCCTAATCAAAAAGCATGGTTAACATGGTCTTGATCTTCCTGCAACTTTGCTGCACCTTCTTTGAAGGGTGTGGAAAACCAGACAACTTCCACTGGGACAACTGGGCCTTCATTTCCAAATCATAACCATAGACCCATGATTCAACTCCAGTTATTATGACCTTCTTGAGGAAATCTGATTCATTGGTAGCAGTTTGAATCAAATCATTAGTGGCATGATGTTCCTTCTGCTCTAGAGGCAGAAACTGTGGAAATGAATTTTGCCACATTCTCTGCAAAGATCCTGTGTCAAAATCTTGGACACAGGAGTTTTTGGAATCTCCAAATCAGCTTCCGGTTCTCACACTGTCAGTCACTGATCTTTGTTGATTGCAACCCATGCACTGCCAACATTCTCAAGTGTTCTGATTGTTGCAGGCCTTCCAGAATGTGGATCACTTTCAACAGATTCTCAAACATCTCTGATGCAACTGTGTCACATTTTTATTTGCACTGCACTCATTGCATTATCCCAAAAAGCCTTCTGAATCATCCGAATACTTTCTGTGGAGGAATGTTCAAGTGTAATGCAAAATTTGATGCACATTCGTTACTCTACTTGTTCAGTTATTTTGAATATGATGGCCACACAGTACACATGCTCACACAATGGTGATGTTGTCATTGTTCACACATGTGCGTTCTGGTCCACTCTCCTTGGCTGCCAGGTTACATCTATGTTGCCAAAACCATTCTCATTATATTTAACAATGACTGAACTTTCTCCAGGCAAAGTACGGGGAAAGTTATATGACCCTCATTCCACAAACATTTACTGATTAAATGAAATTCCAACCAACTCCTCTGTGCCCTCCCCATGTGAGTCTATGAATATGGTATGACACTCATTGGTATCTCTACATACTGCAATTCCCACGCAGACTACCTTGGGCACCTTTAAAGATCATGCAATTATTCCACTTGGCATAATAATCTCTTGTGGGGGGCTCTGCCCACAAGGCTCCCCCACTCCCCTGGCCACCATGGATGAGAGTAAGTCTACCAAGCCATGATCTGCTTGGGGAGGAAAGGTGGCCAATCGCTCAAAGGAGGAGGCCAAGACCTTTTCCTCAATGGGTTTTTATTGGGTTCAATTTGCACAGAAATACAGGTAAAGTTCATCAATCATTGTCAGGCAATAAGGATTAGACAATAGATAACATACAAAGAACTACTAGGGCTTATTCTGAGTCAGGGTCTGTTAGCTAAGGGGTTACAAAACTTTGGGAAACAAACTCATCCTGCTCAGACCCTTATCAGAAAATTGAGAGCATTCTTAGCAAAGCAGGTTTCACAGGAGTTTACATATTCTTTCTTACACCTGTTCACCCTGGGGAACCCACCCGTTCCTGCACAGGGCTGCACTGCCTTCTGTCATTGTTTCAGGCTTAAGTCAGGCAAGAGAAGTAAGGCAGCCAAGAGATTAGGAGACTACTCGCAGACAGAATGAGGACTCAGGCTATGTCAAGGCTGAGGGGTGAGGGTGCATCATCTCCTTTTACTATAGCCCCCCAAGTCCTTCCCTGGGGGCCCCTGTGATCATGCCTGTCTTAGGTCATCCCTCCCTTGAGGAATCTTACCCATCACTGGCTGACCGATCATGCAGTGGGGCCCAGGCAGGGTGAAGAAAAGGGGTCCAGGCAGGGTGAAGCAGCACCCCTGCCAGAGAGATGAGCTTTGTCTCCTTTAGTGGCTTATGGTCCAAAGGTCACTCACTCCGCCTTAGCCATGGGGGTGGGCACAGCTACAGCTTCTGAAACCAGGCAGGGCGGTTCCCAGCACTCTCTCCAGGTCCATCCATGCTCTCACAAAAGAAAAGACTGCATTCTTTTTTGTGGCAGAGTAGTATTCCATTGTGCATTTCAACACCCCAGAGGGAAGAGGTGTTGGGGAGCTAAGTGGAAAAGGTGAAGGGTAAAAATGTAAAAAGCAAAGAAAAAAACCCCTCATAGATGCAGACAACAGTGTGGTGATTACCAGAGGGAAAGAGGGTGAGAGGGGTAGAAAAGGGGAAAGGGGATAAATGGTGATGGAAGGAGACTCAACGTGGGGCGGTGAACACACAATACAATAAACAGATGGTGTACTATAGAATTGTACATCTGAAATCTATATGATTTTGTTAACCAATAAATAATTTTTTTCTTTAAATGGTACAATTAGAGTCCCAGAACTGTCGCAGCAATTTATTGTTAGCCTAAATCAGTGGGCAAGGCAGCGTTTACCTGCTGGCTCCCTGTAAGAAAATAAGGGCATACTGCTCTGAAAACTAGGTATCCCAAATCCGGACTCTGAACCTGGCACCAGGGCGCAAGGAGAGAGCTGCAGGAGCAGAACCCCCAACCTTCCCGGGGCCACATTCCATCGCCACACTCTGCTTCCTTCTACCTCTTGGCTGAGTCTCACCCTGATTTGCCCCTTCCTCTCTTCAGAGTGCCTTGAACTAACTCTTCAGCAGGTCGTTCCTGGCTCCCAAGAAAGTCAGAAAACTTCAAGAAAGCCAATTTAAGGGTATCAAGATCTCCTCTCCCTCGACTCTCTATCGCCCCTGCAGTTCTCAGTACTTACGGTCGCGTTAGTCTCGGAAAAGACCGAGTCTACCAGGATAGTCCCCGAGAGGGCAGCAGTGAATGAGAGCACTCAGGAAGGAGGGTGCCTATCCCCTTGAGCAGAGTCTGCGCCGCTGAGTGAGTGCTCCAGCGAAGAGACCCGGACCTTCGCTCCATTTTTATTTGTAACTGTGCCCAAACTTCTGGCTACTCCCATTCGCCTCCCAATGCAAGCGAACGTTAGTGCCTCTGGACGAGATCCAAAGAAAAGGGTGCGGGCATGTCCCACAGGACTCTGGACACCTCTGGCCGCCTCCCCCGAGGCTCTGCCACTCCACTTCCTCCACTTCGTTGGAGGCCGCGGAGCTGGGACAACGCTCTGTCACCTGGAGCCCCACGCGCTCACTCAGGGACTCGGGACCGGTCGGCCACCCGCAGGTTGCTGTGCCCACGAGGCAGGTGCACCTTGACCCACTTCGGCAGAACCCCGCGCGACTTACCCCGGTGCTGCCGCTGGGACGCCTCTGGATGGTTGAAACTTGCCTCTGTCCCCCAAGGAGCGCGGATCCGGGGTCTGGTGCGACACCCTCCCAGGGCCTGGCGGAGAGGGCCAGAAGGAGCGGGCGCCACCTGACATTCTGAGGCGGTCTAGGTAAGAGAGGGCTCTCCGAGGCCCAGACGTAGAGGATGGAACCCGACTCAGGGGCAGAAACAGGCTGAGCATCTCCGGCCCAGACACCCACCACCACGGTCCGGGGGATGACTCCGCCCCACCTCCCCAGCAGCCAATCCTCTCAATGGGCGTCGCCCTGCCTTCTCCATTCGCTTCCTCTGCACTTAGCGACCTCGCAGCTGCAGGTGTCCGCTGGGCACCGGGAGGGCTTCCCTTCACTTGGTCAACTCGGCTTACTTAAGTCGTGCACAAAAGCATTCTCTCCTAAATACTCGTCAGAGTCAGGAAGCCTCCCTGCGGGAACCGCCTCCAGAAACAGGGTCTCAGAGCAGTCCACCCACGCCCAGCCTTGCTGCAGTGGCCGAACTGGTACTGAGCACCCCGCTCTCAGCGAGCGTGGAGACTCTAGAACAGCGGCACTAAGCCTTCGCATCAGCAGCTATCGCTTGGCCTTTGGCTACACGACTCCTGGGACAAAGCTAGAGAATGATCGGGAGCCGCTTCTGGCCCAGGCAACCGCTCAGTTCTGCTACTAGAGGTTCCCGGTTCTAGATCTCCCATTTCCGCAAACCCAGGTAAATGTCAGAAACCATCCAGAGGAGCAAGCTGAAATTCAAATCCCAGTTACACTTAATTGTTGCAAAACAACGAACCGCCCTGGCTGGTGTAGCTCAGTGAATTGAGCGCGGGCCTGGGAACCAAGCAACCACGGTTCGATTCCCAGTCAGGGCACATGCCTGGGTTGCAGGCCAGTTCCCATCAGGGGACTCACAAGGGGCAACCATACATTGATATTTCTCTCCCTCTCTCCTTCCCTTCCCCTCTAAAGATAAATAAATAAAATCTTTAAAAAAAAAAGAAAAGAAAAAAACAACGAACCAATTGTTGTATAACGCTAGCTATAGAGTTGTTAAAGGATTAAATGAATTATGTCAAATCACATAGCACAAGTACAAAGTGCTATGTACTAGTACAAAGAAAACGCTCAGTGTTTGTTATTCAGTAGAGCTAATCTAAAAACTCCAGCCGGTCCAGGTTCTCAGGCATTTGAAATAAGCGATAATAGAGCAAAAACAATTAATAAAAGAGAGTTAGAGCCAAAAAGATGCCATGACCCAGATTTCAGAATGGGCCAAGCCAAAGTAATAACGATGCAGGAAATTAGTAGGCAGAGGTAATAAGATGCAGAGAACAGTGTGAGGCCCCCAGGTGTCTACTATAAAGGGGACTAAGGCCTCATTATCCTGCGTACGATGTTTCTTGTCTTGTTTCATTCTTCAGTGAATGTCTGTTTTTTATATTACATGGTTGGATACCTTCTGGACAGACCTCATATATTGCTCATTTTTTTTTGCTTATAATAAATATAATTCCTTAGAATCATGTAAATATATACTGCTACTTACTTTGTCCAGTATTATTTTTTATTTAATAAGCCAACCCTTAGGATTAACTCTTGCAGAATTCTTAATACAATACTTAACAATTAAAAAAATACTGTATAGGAGCTGTGTAAGTGCTTACATTGCTATCTACTAGGAATTGGACAAAAACTTGATATTGAGATAATGATAGCTTACATTTACAAAACATTTGCTATGTGGCAGGAACTGAAAATGCTTTACTAAAAATCAATTTTTTATTTCTCACCAATTACCCTGTGGATTAAACATTATCCACACTTTATTGTACTTTGTCACTGTGATTATGAAGTCCACTAAGTAATATTAAAACTGAATAATGGCAGCAATTACTTGAGCCTGTTTTTTATTTCTACAAGACATTCAGTTTATCAGACTGACAAATAGCCATTCAGTAGGTCCAGTCACAATTTTTCAGGTAAGCGATAGCTATTAATACTATTTCCTTACCAATGATAGTACCAAGAAAGAAAGCTGATTAGTAATTACTGCAAATGATCTGCTATTTTTTTCTGGTTAATAGCCTTAAATGGCATTATAAGGAGACATCTGTGAAACAAATCTAACTGATAATAATTATTTTTTAGAAAACAGCCATTTAAAAGCTCTGAAAATTGACCTAGAGGCATATGGCAAGTGAAGAATTATTTTTTTTAATCTACTAAAACTCAAAGAGAACAGCCAGAGTCTGCACCAAATGTGTTATCTGAACCACTACGCGCTCCCTCCTTCTCCCCTCCCAACTCAGTGTGATAGAAACTCCAGTCCAGGTGGGTAAAGCCAAGAATACAGGGTTACCTCTACCTCAGCTCCCAGCCAAGGGCAACAGTATCTTCTCCGGAGTTGCAGGCCACCAGAATTCATCTACCCCAACCATGTGCTGCCAAAGTTAAATTCCAAGCAAATGAGAAGGAAAGGTGAGAAGCAACCTTCTTTCACCCAGTTTCCACTCTTAGGATAAAAGCTCTACCTTAGACATGGCACATTAATAGTGGACCCCTGATCACTCACCCTAGCTAATTTGTAGGGCAAAGGTTCCAGTAGAGGCATGTCAAGAAGACCAGAGAGGCCACATCCCAACCCAGAAGCCTGTGGCCAAAGTAGGAGTGTCACTCAGAGAGTGGCATACTTGTTACCACTCCCAGCTCAGAGCTGTTGCTCAGTAATTTTTGCTTAGGGAGAGTGTTGGGAGCCGGCCAGCAACCATCCCTTGACAAGGTCAGGACGGTTGAGATGCATCTGCAAGACAGAAGCATCTGTGGCTGGATTTCCTGCCTATCTCTCTTTACATGTTTGTTTTGGTGATCAAAACATGGTGGGATTGTTAGACACCTGTATTTCAGGTTCATTGATTCACATAATTCCAATGAAGTTGTACAAAATGATTTCTTGACCAGAGAGCAAAGTTCCCTCTAATGAAATATCCCCTGAATGTCTAAAAGTTGTTGGAGTAACAGCCCCTCCTTTACCTTGAACAGGAATATATATTAATTAGAATTTAGTAGGCAAAGAAACAGGAGAAGCTTGTTAGATACTATAAACTAAGCACATAGATACAATTACCAAGGAGTTAGAGTCCATAGTACATAGAGAAACATTTTGGACAGAAAGATAGATAGCTAAGTTAGACATCACAAAGGCTTATAATAAATTTCCTACTCTCTGCTCGGTCTAGCGTACCTTTTTGCCCCATGTCAAGTTCTAAGACCTTTAATAAACAATAAGACATTCAAACTCTGTACATAGAGCTAGTTCAAATCGTCTGATTAATGGTTCTCCTGGTCAAAACAACTTTTGTTTAACATAACTGAAACTATGGAAATTCCTTACTTTTCCTGGTTATCTCTATATTTGTTTTTTTCTGCTTAACTGATCACACCATGCACCTGTTCCTTTAATGTTATACAACAATCTCTATAAAAATAAAGCCTAAATCAAACTCTATGAGTTCGGTCAGTCCCACAGAGGCTGGCTGTTCTCTGGCATCCAATCGGGTGTCTGACTCTTCATTGGCCTTCGCCGTCCTTCCTTCAGGGACCCTGAACCCTGCCGAGGCTGGACCCCGGCAGGAGAGAATCAGGATGTTAAACAGAGAGCTCTCAAATAGATGAATTTATTTGAAACAGGGTATAAAGAAGTTAAAGCCTAAGAGTACTCAAAACAGCGAATTTTGGTGGAAAGCAATTAAGCAGAAGCTGACTTTGAAAGAGATAGAAACTAAACCAAAGGTCCCCTAGTTTGCCAGAGAGAACCAGGGAAAGAGACAGCTAAGAGGCCTTCTGGCTTTAGAACAAACTACAGCAATTGACTCCAAATACTATTGCTTCAAGGAACCCAGGATTTGACTGACTCCGGATGGGGAGTAATTTATACTCCAGAGGATTGCTGAAGACAACAGAGCAATCAGCCAATGACTAGTTGAGCTTAACTGCTGGACAGGATCAAGGAAAGAGTAAGGAGCCCTGCTACAACCAATGTCATCCCAGAGTGACTGTGTATATGCTGAAGGGAGTGACATCTGAGGACCAACGTCAAAGGTTCCATAATGTGGAGGAAACAGCCATCTCTGAAATAAGTCCAGCCAGACACTAAAGAAATAAACAAGCCAACTATAATGACAAGTTCCAGGGAATGGGGAGGTAGGGCGGATACCGATATCCAGAGTGGTTATAAACAGAGAGTATAGGTAAAGAGATAAATATTATTTTTAAAAAAGAACCAAATGGAAATTCTGAAGTTGAAAAGTACAACTGAAATGAAAAATATACCAGAAGGGCTCAACAGATTTAAGCTGATAGAAGAAAGAATTAGCAAACTTGAAGCCTGATAGAAACAATACAATCGAAGAACAAAGAGAAAACAGATTGAAGAAAATTGAACACAGCCTCACCCAGTGGTGGGAAGCAGGTGAGGGGGACGCCATTTCCCCACTCTGACCCCGCCACCACAACCCAGCGACCCCGCCCTGGAGGCCCGGCTCCTAAGGCTCCGCTCCTCATACTTAATGGGCACGAACAGACCAAAAATGGCTCAGGAAGACCTCAAAGCCCCAGAGCCCATAAATCTAAGTGACGAAGAAATAGCAAAACTTTCAGATGCACAGTTCAAAACACTGGTGATCAGGATGCTCACAGAACTGGTTGATTTTAGTCACAAATTAGAGGAACATATGAAGGCTAAACTAATTGAAATGAATGGCAATGCACAGGAAACCAATAGTAATGGAAAGGAAACTGGGACTCAAAACAAAGGACTGGACCAGAAGGAGGATAAAAATAACCAACCAGAAAAGAATGAAGAAACAAGAATTCAAAAAAATGAGGAGAGACTTAGGAACCTCCAGGACATCTTTAAACGCTCCAACATCCGAATTATAGGGGTACCAGAAGAGGGAAAGGAACAGCCATGAGGGGAAAACTTATTTGAACAAATAATAAAGGAGAATTTCCCCAATCTGGCAAAGGCAATAGACTTCCAGGAAATCCAGGAAGCTCAGAGAGTCCCAAAGAAGTTGGACCCAAGAAGGAACACACCAAGGCACATCATCATTACATTAGCCAAGATTAAAATGAAAGAGAGAATCCTAGAAGCAGCAAGAGCTAAGGGGACAGTCACCTACAAAGGAGTTCCCATCAGACTGTCAGCGGATTTCTCAAAAGAGACCTTACAGGCAAGAAGGGGCTGGAAAGAAGTATTCCAAGTCATGAAATCCAAAGACCTACAACTAAGATTGCTCTACCCAGCAAAGCTTTCATTTAGAATAGAAGGGCAGATAAAGTGCTTCTCAGATAAGGTCAAATTCAAGGAGTTCATCATCACCAAGCCCTTATTATATGAAATGTTAAAGGGACTTATCTAAGAAAAAGAAGATAAAAAAGATGAACAGTGAAAGGACAACAAACTCACAGTTATTAACAACCACATCTAAAACAAAAGCAAGCTAAAAGGACAGCTAGATCAGGAGCAGAACCATAGAAATGAAGATCTCGTGGAGGGTTAGCAACAGGGGAGTGAGAGGAGAGGGGGGGAGAAGGTACAGAAAATAAGTAGCATAGATGGTAGGTAGAAAATAGATAGGGGGAGGGCAAGAATAGTATGGAAAATATAGAATCTAAAGAACTTGAGACACATAGTCATAAACTAAAGGGGGGGGAATGGTTGTAGTGGGGGGGTGCAGGGTGGAGGGGAATGAAGGGGGGAATAGAACAACTGTAATGGCATAATCAATAAAATAAAAAATTTTTAAAAACTATAAAAAGAAATAGCAAGAAACCAGTGTAAAAACTAAAGTAAGAAGTATTTTGTGTTGAGTTTGAGGTGAATAAAAACCGATGGAAAAAAAAAGAAAGAAAATGGAACACAGCCACAGGATAATGTGGGTCACCATTAAGTATATGTGCAATGAGAATACAAGAATTCCAAGTTTGATTTTTAAGAAATTCTTAAGGTAGCTCAACAAACTCCAAGTAGAATACATACATATAGATCCACTTCAAACACACAGAGTAAAAATACTTTATTGGTAACATCGAATGTGAGTAACAACACAATCAAAATTAAAAGCATCTGTGTTTCAAAGGACACATCAAGGAAGTAAAGGAAATACACTTAATGGGCAAACAATGTGAATGAACATTACTCCAAAGAAGATATATAAATGACCATTAAGCACACAAAATGATGCTCAACATCATTTGTCATGATGGAAATGGGGATTAAAAGCACAGTGATGTACCACTGCACACCTACCAGGATGGCTATACTCAAGAAAAAAGATAATAGCAAGTGTTGGTGAGGGTGTGAGGAGATTGGAAACCTCATTCCTGTTGTAGGGATTATAAAATGGTACAGGCACTTTCAAAAGTGGTCTGGAAGCTTCTCAAATAGTTACCACAGTTATCATATGACCCAGAAATTCTACTCCTAGACATATACCCAAGGAAAATGAAAACGTATATCCACCCAAAAACTTATACACGAATGTTCATAGCAGCATTATAGCAATATAATAGCCAAAAAGTAAAAATAACCCAAACATTGATGAATGGACAAATAAACCATGGTATACCCATAAAATGAAGTATTATTTGGATATAAGAAAGGATACATACAACATGAATGAACTTTGAAAACATTATGCTAAATGAAAGAAACCAGTCACAAAAGACCAAGTATACAAAATATCATATGATTTCATTTACATGAAATGTCCAGAATAGGCAACTGCAGAGACAGGAAGTCTACTGATAGGAATTGTCCAAGAATGGCGTGGTTGAGGGTGACAGCCACAAGGTATGCAGCTTCTTTTTAAGGTGATAAAAATGTTCTAAAATTGTTTGTTGTGTAATTGCACAACTCTGTGAATATACTAAAAACTGTGCAACTGTACACTTTAAATGGGTGCACAGTATGGTATGTAAATTATATCTCAATAAAGATGTAACAAAAACAGTCTATATATAAATGAAAATAACTTTAAATTTTTTTAAAGAATTTTACTTTGGAAATATAACAAGGAGTGTAATTAAGCATGAAATAATTTCATTCTTGATAATAGGTACACATTACAAATATGTGAAGTAAACTAGTTGGTATCTCAACTCTTTTAAATAATTTATATTTTATTGAAATTATCTTTTATTCTTTTGCAAAGATATAACCTTACAGGAGGAATACATTTAATCTAAATGTTCATTGTCATAGATAAGATTCAGAAGTCAACATACATGATATCAGTTGTATTCATCTTTGTTAAACAGCTGTATAAAGCTATTCACAAAAAATGAAAGGATTCTTTAGGAAATATTTCAAACTATCAGGTTGGAATGCATGTTTCTTTCTGATACTATTATGCCACTAAATACAATGGTCAGATATTCTTATAGAACTGCACACAGGATTATTATATATGCCAAGCTTAAAATATTGCAAATTCTAAAAAACTCATAAACAGAAATGATTCAAAGATTTCTTGACACTAAATCCAGCAAATGTTGTTCTACAATGCCCTTTTTATCATGAAAAAGAAGTTTAATGTTTAGAAACCTTGATGGATGAAACATAGTCAAATCAAATATATTCTTTTTTAATTTTCACATCTAATTATTTAAATTGTTTACACATTAAAAAACTTAATAATGAGCTATTGTTTCAATAATTGTTCCATTTTACTTGCAATTTTTCAGAGCTTTAATTTTAAGACATATTGGCATCTAAAACTGTTAGCAAATAGCAAAAACTATTTTAAAAACTGGACAAATAAAGAGAGAATATTTTGAAGTATAAATCAGGAAGTAGTTATTTGTTTTACAAAAGGTTCTTAATTATACAGAATAATTCATAACATATGCCCTTTAAATATTAACACATTTCAAATAAACACACCAAAAAATCAAGTGACATACAACTTTTAGAAACCCTACAATTTTATAAAGAGAGACATCATAAAAGACATAAAAGACATCAAAATATTTTAACAGTTCAAAATAGAAAGGGCCAAAAGAGTTTATAAGAAACAAAACAGTTTAATTAGATGGCTATTTACTGTGCCCATCAAGAAATTCATAGTTTTTACAGCATATTTTTCAGCCCTAACTTGTAACACACTTTGACCTCCATTTCTGCTTTTCCTGGAGTCATTCTGGACTATGCAGAAGAGTAACAACATACGGGCAATTGGTGATTTGGGTTAATATCCTGAAAAAACATGCCATCTGTATGTACAAGGTAATAAAGAAAAACATTCTGAAGGACAATGCATACTCCCTAGGTTGTAAAACCAAACAGTCTAACAAAAAGCACCAAGATACAGATGACAAAAGATAGAAAAAATATAAACCAGCACATACTTTATCACATACCTTATCAGGTAAGTTTTATTTGTTGGCCTGTTTGGCATTTGGGAGCTAAATAAATGAATATAGCAAGCTAAAAATCCCACTGCTACCATAATAAAGATTTGTTCATTAGTAAAAATAGCTTAGGACTCTCTTGTGCTTATCCATGAGAAAAAAGTTACCATGATTTTCCTATGGGAAAGAAAGAAATGGATAATACTTTCTGGAAAATAGAAAGTAAACTTTGAAATGAAGAAGCTAAGGCACTTATTCAATGATTTTGCAATAGCAAGGGCATAATATGCTCTGTATTCTTCAAGAAATTCCTTCCACACAAAAACCATAAAGTTGCTCCTTACATAGGTCTTTATTGTCAAACCTAACAACTTGTAAGTTATACAAGTAGAATTACTTGCAGACTTCTTAATCATTTGTTACTCTATAAAGAAGTTAATTAAGTGCTCCTGCATCAAAGTTTTCTAGTCCTATTGTTTTAACTAAAGTTAAAATAGAAACAAATAATATTATGTCTCACATCCAGTATTATTATTTCTATGTTAAAGCTCACAATTCTTTTTCAAATGATGGTGAATGAAAAATTCATTATTTAGAAAATTCATTTAAAAGTTTCTCCAAATCTATTTTATTTAACAAGTTGACAGAAGCAAAAGCAACTAATGTGCCAAGAACAAAAATAAAACAAAAAACATACAACAAACTAATAATTCAGTATCTTTGATCATAATGTAAATCAATAAAAATTAATTAAATATTTCATAGTAGAAAACAGGCTGTTCGATTCCCCAAGGAACATGCAAGCTGACTTTTCAATCACAAGGTTTTACATGCTCTACTCATAAGTATTACCATGTGACTATTCACTATGTACTTAGGTAACTATGATAATATTTTCATAAGGCTTCAAGCTAAATATTAGTGACTCATTATTAAGATGTACAGAGAACTTGAAATATCCTGCCTACAGCTATCTTAATAGAGTTGTTAAAAAGTTACCTAAAAGCATGAAATGAAAACCAATTAAAGTATTGCCCCAGATACATGATTATATGACGCAGCCGTCACACAATTCTTAAGCTCCGAAAGGGCAAAGCAACCTAGAGCTAATCTAAGAATGAATGTGCTTCTGTACTTTTAAATATGTTACAGAAAATAAAGATAATGGAATGATGCTCCCTTCTAGTGTAGTGTAGCAAAACTGCAATTTTTACAGGCTCTAAAAAGTGAAAATTTTGAAAACCCATTCACTAAACAGATATATAAAACTAAACATGCACACCATCTTATTAAAGGGGCATATATATCCAGAATGTTTATAAAGCCAAAAAAATCATTTTAGATTTTCTTTTAATAAATGATAAAAAATATGAAAACATTTAACTTAAAGGAACACAGCATTTAGCCTGTGAAACTGTGCTGTGAATTTTATTATAACTGTTATTTTGTTCTTTATGTTGAAGACTGTATCATACTTTCATAAATAATAGCACTTGTTTTAATAATAAATACACCTGTACGCAGAGGTATGTTGAACAGCATCTACACATATCTCCAGAAATTGTTGCTCATTTTAGTGTACATGTATTCATTTTGCTAAAGATTTTTTAACCTAATTTTCAGTAGAAATCATGTGAATACTGTATAGTCCATATCCATATTTTAATATATTTTTAAAAAATATTTCATTTGTTTATCTTTAGAGAGAGGGAGGGAGGAAGAGAGGGAGAGAAACATCAATCGATGTGTGGTTCCTACTGGGAATCTGGCCCACAACCCAGGCATGTGCCCTGACCAGGAATTGATTGAATCAAGTGACCCTTTGGTTTACAAGCAAGGCACTCAGTGCACCAAGCCTCACCAGCCAAGGCTCTATATCCATATTTTTTAAAAACCTGAACATTCTTGTAAATGTCTGTTTTAAAAAATATATAGATAACAAGAGTTACTGTTTTATAATGATTAAATTGGTATCAAATTTATGAGCGTAAGTAACAAGAAGTAACTACTTAATAGTCATAAAATAATAAAATGCATTATCATGTACTATATATTACTAAGAAAGTGCTCACTTATATAAGCATTTAGACAATGAAAACAGTATCATGGAAAATCTGGATATATTTTTATATATATCCTTAGAAATCACTTTCTTTTATATCATTTCCATTTTAATTTAAATGCCACACGTTTTCACCTAACATTTAAATTAGTTTTTTATTGTTAACATTTCTGTTCTGTTATAAGCCATAATAAACTACCTTTAGAAACTGCCTTGAGGGTAAGAATAATTCTCTCCTCTATAATTATATCACATTAAGTGTATATTAAATGTTATGCTTGAGAAATATACTGAGACCTTGAACACATTCAAATTCAAGATCAATAGCATGATAAAGTGAAGATGTATAAGGAAATTTTTACGATAGTTTAGAAGGAGAAATCTTTAAAGACCATATAACAGTAAGAAAATACCTGGCTGGAATGACGCAGAGCAGTGCGGTCTGACATTTTACCGAAGGACAGTAAGGTGTGACCTTCCACTCCCCTCAGAACTCTGGATCCCATTAATGGCGGGGGCGGGGAAAGCAGTGGCAGTAGCAGCACTTCAAATGTCCATGCTCTGACTTCCGAAAGCATACCACACTGGTAGAAGAAAGTCACGTTTTACTTTAGATGGTGCAAGTCTTTGAAATGAGGGCTCTGCTATTTTCAAGACTGAAAGGATATCACAGTGTTGATTTTATATACAAAGTAGGATCTGTTCCAGTATACTCTAGTGAAATAATTCACGTATGGAGAATAGTTAATTTTGACCTCATGACAAAATCGCCCATATTTTGAGTAGGTTAACTTGTCATCATCCTCTTCACAAACCACCTGTCAATAGATATGAACGTAGAGTTAAAAAAACGCTTATTAAACATATGGGAGAAATGCAGTCAGTGTACAAATGACTACATTTCCATGGAAATATATTATGCTACACACAGACAACCTCACATCATTCAGCAAACCGTAACAGTCACCATGTGTACTAGACTTCTGAGCTTCCTGCTGACATGCAGACACTAGGTCAAAGTGTTCCCAATTTTAAAAAGATTTAATCCTAAAATTTAGAAGCCTATGAGTCCATAGTCCCCTACCATTCCTCTTAAGAACTTTATTATGAAGTCTACCAAGGCTAAGAAATAAATGTACAGGGTGGGGCAAAAGTAGGTTTACAGTAATTCATATGGAAAAGAATACAATAATTAATAAACAATAATATAAGAATAAACTCTGTGTTTCATGTACTCACAAATGTAAACATACTTTGCCCCACCTTGTATTATATTCTTAATGTATATTTAAATACCTGGTGTAGAACTGATTTACAATGATCTAGTAAGCAAGTAAATTTGGGGGACTTATCCAGGACAAACCTTTACATTCCCACCTCGATGATGCTCACTAAAGTACCTTAGCTAGCTTGAAGGATTTCCTATAAAACACTAAATGTTACTCTAATGCCTAAGAAAGCTGTCAGAGAGCCAAGTTTAATCAGAGTAAAAGAATAGATTAGCTTTAAATCTGTACCTGGCATTATATGAAAGTAACCTGATCTTCAAAATGGAGCAAAAAGGTAGCCAAAAATAGATTATAAAGAGTCCAGTAGCAGATACCAATACAGTAGCAATTACTAAATACTTACGATGGTTTTTGTTAACTCCTTTTTTAGAAATCATCACCTTCGAATATGTTTATTGAGTTGACAGATATCAATGGGGGGGGGGAGAGAGAGTGAGAAGTGAGAGAGAAACAATCTGTTGCCTCTCATAAGCACTCCCCTGCAATTTAGGTATGTGCTCTGACCAGGAATTGAACCCTCAACCTTTCAGTGCATGGGACAACGCTCAAGCCAACTGAGCCACCTGGCCAGGTCCCTGTTATCTTCAGTAAAATTCCATTTGGCACTAATTAAGCCAAAGATTACAGATATCAAGTATGAAGAGAGAAAATTCAAAACATATGCAGCAGAAAACAGTGTTTATATTATAAGTTTAAGGGGTCATGAAGAAAGAAAAAGGTGAAAATCATAAAAACTAACTTCTCAACTCCAAACTAGTCTGGGATAAGACAAAGAGCTAATTATTTAGGAAGGGACAAAAAACAAATCTTGGTTGCAACCTGAACAGACTACGCACCCCAACCTAGAGTGATCTAATCAACTTTCCTAAGGTCCTCTACCCCCAGCTTTCACAGGAGTGAAGGTGCCCTTTCCAGACAACACTCTCCCCTGCTGGTCTTCCCGGCTGCTGGACACACAACATGCACTGTAGGCCGAGAAGTGAGATATTTGGTAAAACAGCTCAAATTAATGAAAAATCAAGATGTAACTAAGTCCTAATGACTAAAGTGGCTCTGAATACACTGATTGTTGTGGATAATAGGGACTCAGTATAAGAACTGCCATAATTTAGTAAGCAATGTTCCTAGATATGTATTAAATTACAATAACCTCAATATAACATTGCAACCAAATGTTCTATAGATTATTATCAGTTAAAATCATCATTCAAATCCAATTATGCCATCTTGTTTTTCTTTAAATGCTCATTTTTTCCCCCAGCGTAATTTTGTATTGGTTTCACCTGAAAGTACAGCCTATCCTTTACAAAGTGTTCCCCTTGATATTTATAGTAACCACCTGGCACCATACATAGTTATTGTCATACATATTAGTGACTATATTCCCTATGCCGTACTTTACATCCCTGGCCAGCTTTTGTTTATAAATGTTGAACATACGTAAGAATAGGTAATGAATATGAAATCCATGTATTGGTAAAAAATCTTTTTGCAAAAATACCCAACTTTTCTTTTGTACTTTGAAAAAATACTTCAAAGTACTTTTAATAAGTTCCCCCATCATTATATAACTTTTAATTATATTTTTAGTTAAGTTCCAAAAATAAAGTTTGCAGATTACAAATTTAAACAAAGTCATTTTTCTCAAAAAGATTTACATTTCCAAATGGTTACTTACATGGCCATTCGCAATGTCTAATAAATCTTTAACCCTACAGCCTCGCATGGTTCCCACCTCATTGCAAATGGCATCCTCTACAATTAGGTAATTAGCTTTGTAAGATGTCAGTATTTTATAAATATCTTCAGCTGATCGCTTTGAATAGATTTGATAGATCTGAAAGAATACAATTAAAACAGTTATTTAAAAAGACATTTAAAACTTTTATTAATCAAAACTATGCATTAAGCATCTACCATGTTTGATATTCACAAAGTCTTGATTCCTGCCCTCAGAGAGCTTATATTCATATGCAATTAGCCATTTGTGTATCTTCCTTGGAGAAAGGAAGATACACAAATGTACATTCAAGCCTTTTGCTCATTTTCCCCCTAGCTTTATTGAGATACAAATAACATACAGAATGTGAGGCAGGGATGGGTGCAAGTGGAAGAGAGCTAAATGGTAATGGAAAAAATGCAATAAAAAAGAAACTATTAAAAACATATAACATTGTATAAGTTTAAAGTGTACAAGTTGCTCATTTAATACATTTAAATATGGTAAAATGATTACCACCATAACATTAGCTAACACCTCCATCATGTCACACAATTATCATTTATTTTTTGTGGTAAGAACATTTAACACCTACTCCCTTAGCAACTTTCAAGTATATAATACAGCTTTAATTACTATAATGGCCATTTTGTGTATTGGATCCCCAGAATTTATCCATCTCATAGGTGGAAGTTTATGCCCTTTCACCAACATCTCCCAATTCCCCTTCATCCAGATGCTGGCAAGCACCACTCCCTCTTTCCATGAATTTGACTTTTTAAAATTCAATATAGAAGTAATATCACACAGTATTTTTCTTCTCTATCTGACTTATTTCACTAAACATAGTGCCCTCAAGATTCATCCCTGTTTTTGCAAATGGCCTTTGTCCATTTTTAAATTGATTTGTCTTTTTATTATTGAAATGTAGTAGTTCTTTTAATCTTTTTTATTACCATATGTCAAAGGTTTTTTATGCTCATTTTATACATGAAAGAGTCAGCAAGGTTAAAAATAATTTGACCATTGTAACAAAATACTCAATGAGCCAATGATACGTAAAACTCAAACCCTGATTCCGTGGCATGTTTCATTACAACTTTCCTGACCTTACTAGATAATTATTCCAGACACTGGCCAAAGTCCCCGAGGGGCACAACTGTCCCAGGTTTGAGAACCACTGCCACAGGCAATCATGAAACAATCCATCACATGTCATGAATTATAGATAGTGTCTAAGTCAAATGATAGTCTAATTTATGGAGTTCAGTTTGAATTTTAGTTTGACAACAAATTTATTCAGTATTTGCTATGTACCAGACACCAGAGAGAAAGACAAAGGTTTGAAAAATACAGTTCCGTTTTCAAAGCCAAGTCATTACAAACCTTAAAACTCTAAAATGTTTAAATTTAATTACCATCTAATTAATACTCTGACCTTATTATAAGAGATTCTAAAATTCTCTATTAGTAAAAACACCAACCAAAAAACCCCTACAAAGTCATGTCAGAACTGGCTGGTTCAAATCCACAAAAAGTAAAGTTCAGGAATATGCTGCATATATTCTGTCCAAGCAACACTACCTTTGCAGAGTGCAGCAAAGGCTAATTAGAGACAGCTGTTGTCTCCCAGGTAAATTACTCTCAGGCAGATAGATCTCCCTATCTCTGATTTTCTCCTGCTTCATCTGTTCTCTCTGCTATAATCATAATGAACTCTATTGCTAACCCTCCATGTGATCTTCATTTCTATGGTTTTGCTCCTGATCTAGCTGTCCTCTTAGTTTGCTTTTGTTTTAGTTATGGTTCTTAATAACTGTGAGTTTGCTGTCCTTTCACTGTTCATATTTTTTATCTTCTTTTTCCAGGGTAGAGGGGAATGAAGGGGGGAAACAGAACAACTGTAATGGCATAACTAACAAAATATATTTTTAAAAATTCTTCAAAATTAATAAATAAATTATTTTATTATTGTTCAAAAAATAATGAACTCTCTAAAAGAGATCTAAGCATTCAATTCTCAGACTTATTAGAGGCTTTTGATAACTCCCAAATACCTCAAGGGTTAAGTCTAAATTCTTCAGCATGACATTCCAGGCCCTTCAGAATTTGTCCTATATTTTCTAGTTTCATGACCATACAAATTTCATGGCTCATGTTACTTTTTCAGACTCAAATCAAATGCAGTTTCCCCCCCAAGGAAGTTTCTAGTCATCCTCTGAAGACCAGATCAAGAGAATGTCCTTTATGGAGACTTGGATTTATGTAGGCAGAATTGATTGCTACTGCTTCTGAACTCTCTTTGTACTCTGTGTGTTTATATATGTTCATGTGCACACACATACAATTATAACTTAATAGTATAAGATAGTAACATAATAATAGCTAATATTTAAATTTTACTATGTTTCAAGCAAAGCACATCCTCTCATAGAATTTTCACAACTAGGAGGTGAGAACTATTATTTCCATATTCAGACCCTTGCTCAAAATTAAAGAAACTGAAGAAGACACAAATAAATGGAAAAATATTCTGTCGTCATGGCTTGCAAGAATTAATACTGTTTAATGCCCATATCTAAAGCAATCTATAGAGTCAATGCAATTCCTATCAAGATTGCAATGGCATTTTTTGCAGAACTAGAACAAATAATTCTAAAATTTGTATGGAACAACAAAAAATCCCAAATAGCCAAAATAATCTGTTATTTGTTTATTTATTTATTTGTTTGTTTAGAGGTGGGGGAGAGAAACATTGACTTATTTTTCCATTTATCCATGTGTTCATTGGTTGATTCTTGTATGGGCCCTGACGGGGGAGAGAACCACAACCTTGGTGTATGACACTCCAACCAACCTAGCTACCTGGCCAGGGCACCAATATAATCTTGAGAAAGAACAACAAAGTTGAAGGCATCACACTCCCTAATTTCAAAGAATACTACTAAGCAATAGTAAACAGATCAGTCTGGTAGTGGTATAAAAACACACACAGATTAATGGAACAAGAATAAAGAGCCCAGAAATAAACCCACACATATATATAGGCAACTAGATTTATAACAAAAGAGTCAAGAATATACAAGAGGGCTCTCTTTCCACAAGATGGCCACACCAGCAGTACTGGTGAGTGCTCCACTCCAGCCCCGGCTGAAGCCCCCCACCTCAGCTCCAAACCCGGCCCAACCTCACCTCCAGAGTCCGTCCCAGCTCCAATCCCAGCTCCACTCTCATCCCCAGACCCAGTGGCAGCAGTGGCTACGACTGTGGCTCTGGCCCAGACTCTGGCCTCAGCATGGGCCCCGGGGCAGACCTCAGCGCAGTCACAGGTCGATCCTACTCTACCAGGCCCCTTCCCCAGCAGTCAGGTGGTCTGGCCACACCTGGTCATTTTGGCCTCCCTCACGGACAGCTCTGAGCGACACAACAAGGCCGCTGCCCAAGATATTGGGCTGGGAACCATGGACAATCACTCAGTGTAAGTCACCAACTGCCTTTCAATGCCACACAATGAGTCAGAAGGTGAGGTGGCTGTTGACATGGAATTTGCTTACAACAATGTATGAACTGCACAAGAAATTCTCTTCAAATGAGCTCATTCTGAGCTGGAAAGCTATAGGCCATGGCATCACAGAGCACTCTGTGTTGAGCCACGAGGGCTACAGTTGGGAAGCCCCAACCCCATTCACCTCACTGTGCCTCTAGAACAATCAATGAGCATCAGGGCTTACACCAGCACTTCAGTGGGTGTCCCTAGCGGGACCGTGGGGGTGATGCTCATACCTCTGACAGTGAAATGTATGTACTATGACACTGAACACACTGGAGCTGACCTTATCATGACAACCTGTTTGAGCCCTAACTGGGTGATTGGATTCTCAAGTGACTTGCAGCGAGTGGTAGATCATGGGCTCACATCCAGGATGCCCTAGGCATAGTGTGGAAGCATACAGATGACAATGGTCTGGAAAGGTTTCAGCTGACAATACTGTGAGCTGCTTCTTGATGAGTCGGGTTAACCAAGTACCCGAGACAGTTGGTTATTTGGGTGCTGGTAACCAAATATCCAAGACCATGCTCAACAGCAACATCAATGATCACTGATGGTGATCTTCCTAGCCCATGTCACACAGTCACAGATGAGGAACTTGTAACCCTCTGAATGGGCCCCAAGCAGCACTCCTTCCATTCTGGCCCCAGCTCTAGGATTTAGAATGGACTGAAATGGAAATGGCCTCTTGTGGTTTGAGTCACCCTGAGTGAGTCAACTGCATGTAACCTAAATAAACATAGCCTACTTTTTGTACGTGAAAAAAAAGAAAAGAATATACAATGGGAAAAGGACAATCTTTGCAATATATCATGTGGGGAAAACTGGACAGCCACATGCAAAAGAATGAAACTAGGCCACCATCTTATACCATACACAAAAATTAATTCAAAATGGGTTAAAAACTTGAATATAGGACCTAAAACAATACAATTCCTGTAAGAAAGCTTAGGTGGTAAGCTCCTTGACATTGCTCTTGGAAACGTTTTTTGGGGTCTGACTCTGGAGGCAAGGGAAATAAAAGCAAAAATAAACAAATGGAACTATATCAAACTAAAAAGCTTCTGCAGAGTAAAGAAAGGCATCAACAGAACAAAAGGACAATCTACTGAATGAGAGAGGATATTTGTAAATAATACAATGGATATGGGGTTAATATCCAAAATATATCAAGAACTCATACAATTCAACGTCAATTGAAAAAAACCTGATTAAAAAATGGGCAGGGGATCTGAATAGACACTTTTCCAAGGACATACAGATGCCCAACAGGTACATGAAAAGATGCTCAACATCGCTAGTCATCAAGGAAATGCGTATTTAAACCACAATGTGGTATCACCTCACACCTGTCTGCATGGCTATCATCAGAAATGGGAGAAATAACGTGTTGGTGAGCATGTCGAGAAATGAAAATCCTTGTGCACTGTTGGTGGGATCGTTGATTGGTGCAGTCACTATGGAAAACAACATGGAGATTCCTCAAAAAATTAAAAATAGAACTGCTGTATGATCCAGCAATTCCACCTCTGGGTATTTATGTAAAGAAAATGAAAACACTAATTCAAAAAGATATCTGCAACTCCATGTTCATTACAGCATTATTTACAACAGCCAAGACATGGAAACAACCTAAATGTCAATCAATAGATAAACAGCTAAAGAAAATGTTGTACATGTATATAATGGAATATTACTCAGCCACAAAAAGGATGAAATCTTGCCACTGCAATAACGTGGATGGACCTTGAGAACATTATACTAAGTGAAATAAGTCAGATGGAGAAAGACAAATGCCATAAAACTTCACTTACATGTGCAATGTAAAACTAACACCACACACACAGAACAGACAATGGTTGGTGGGCAAATGGGTGAAGGGAGTCAAAAGGTACAAACTTGAAATTATAAAATAATGGGAGTGTAACGTACAGAATGGTGACTATAGTTCATAATACTGTTCTACATATTTGAAAGTTGCTAAGAGAGTAGACCTTATAAGTTTTCAGCACAAGAAAAACATTTTTTTGCAGCTCAATATGGTGACAGATGTTAACTAGACTTACTGTGGTGATCAGTTTGCAATACACACAGATATCAAGTAATTACTTTATATACCTGAAGCTAACATAATGCTATATGCCAATTATGTCCCAATTTTGTAAAAAAAAAAAAAAGGCATTGTGGAAATGCCCCCTGTCCAAAGAAGGAAACTTGCTCCAGGTAACAAAGCCAGTATATGGCACAGGTAGCATTTGAGTCCAGATACTCTAATTTCAGAATCTGCATTCTGAGAGTCTAACCTCACATTATATAGTTTAGCTTCCACGCTGCTTTATTCCCTCCTTAGCTTAGAGTATACATAAAAACTATGTGATGTTCTCTTAACACAGTCATCAATTGGAAAACAGAATGTCTGGAACTCAGGTTTACTTAGTCATTGTCTCCACATACAAAGTTACCACTTATATCCATACCAAACACTCAAAATGATAGCTTCTCTTGACATTAAGTAACTAGATTCCGTTCTAATATTAGACTAAATATAATAGCCCATACTGAAAAATAAATCACAGTGTAATAGAATTTTAGCTTAGAAAATCAGAGTGTATCAAGACCTTAATCAACAGTGCTCCTTCAATAATTTGATTGAGAACAATATTTTCAAAATTATGTTACTCTTTGTGAAATGTTACACATTAGTTCCCTTGAAACTTGGTGGAAAATTAAATGTTTCTCCAACAAACGTACCTATACTGTTCATAAAACCTTTGATATTAATTTTGGCTCTCCTCTTGCTTAAATGCATTATGCATCTTTTAAAAAACTAAAGCTAATTAACCTCTCTAAAATTATTTGGATTTTCCTAGCTAATCAGGAACATATGCATCATTACAAAACTGTATTAAAATAAAGAGTGATGTTAAAAAAGATCCAGATGTAGAATCTACAATGTCTTACATTTTCTTCTTTTAAAAAGACTTTTATTAATTTATTATTTTTGAAGAGAGCAAAGGGAGGGAGAGAGAGGGTAAGAGTCATCCATTGGCTGCCTCTTGCATGCCCCCAACTGGGGACCTGGCCCGCAGCCCAGGCATGTGCCCTGACAGAAAATTGAACCAGTGACCTTTGGCTTTGTGGGACAATGCCCAACCCACTGAGCCACATCAGTCAGGGCATAAAATGCCTTACATTTTCATTTCTCTTGAGAAGATCATCGTCATTGTAAAGAGGCAAGCTTGTTACCATCCATCCAGTGCATAATTTAATTGCACCCATTAACTGTGGACTCCCTGCAAACACAGCTGCAACTGGAGCTTGCCTTCTGCAAAGAAGCACACAGATTAAGACCCTGGAAAAGTAAATATACTATTTAGATCACTCGTCTACATCAACTCTGAATTACCCGGAGACCTATACAACGTGTATTATATACTTAAGTTTCAATGTCAGCTTTCACTTCATTTCACTTATGGACTCATTCAAAACAATTAAGCACCTATTATGTATCAAGAATGATTCTGAGTGCTGAATATATAGAAATGTTTTAAAGGGGGAGTGGAGATAAGATCCTTGCTTAAAGATAATAAACATCTAAGTCAGGTGGTAATAATGCTATTAAAAAACAGTATAGGGTAATGGGACATAGTGACAGGAAAATACCATTTTATACAGTATGATCAATTCAATGGTGATACTGTAAATTCTCAAATTTATCTTCTTTACAAATATTAACCGCCACAATTAAACTCCTTCCAGATCCACCTATCCTCCTGCTCCTTCCCTACCTTCACCTTCTCCACCCTGAGCCATGACTCAAAGTCCCAGATGGACGCTACTTGCAAGTCTAGGAAACCCAGAAACAGGTCCCAAAGGTCTACCCTATGGCCTTCATTAATCTGTTTGCTCCGCATTCCGCACCCACTCACTACATGTTAGGGATAGTGCCAAGCTCTGGAAATGAAGGGATGGCACACAGCCATTGTCCTCCAGGAGCAGCCAGTAATGGGGAAACAAAGATAAAACTGAATAATTGAACAACAGTAACACACATGTCCAATTGTTTGATGTAAAATGTTCTATATTCAGGCCTTTGCCATTTTTTAAAATATGTATTATGACAAATGACACACATAGATGTAACTCCCCCTTTTGTTAATGACGACAAAGAGATAAACAGTCAGTGTTCTACCATGGTAAACACAGTCTTAAAAAGTATTAATGGGCAATAGTTAAGGGTGATCTAAAGGAAACAAATTTTATATGTATGAGGAGTATCACTACAGTATAAGGCCTTATAATAAGCCCTATTCTCATTTCTATATACCTACTCTACTCTACAAACACACTCCTCATTTCTAGAAACATTTTGTCCCCTCTCTCCCAGTCCTGATCTTTTTTGATAGTGTTTCCTTCCTTTTCATGTTTCAGTTTCTTCTATGTGTTCAAATTTTTTTTCAATGTGGTTATTTCAGTTTCTCTCCATGGCATAGACTGGGTGCAGAATGACTGCAATGATTCTTCTCCCTACAGCTGCTCTCTAGGAGGATACTCTGATCTTGGCCATATGACTTGCTTTGGCCAACAAACATAATGTGAGCAGAGACAAAACACGCATGGCATTTAGACTTGCCCTCTCTTGCTGCTCTTGGGAACTCCACAACTACTACTTTGTAAACGAGCCCAGGCTAACATGGGCCGGATGATGAGAGGCATGCGGCCTAGTCAATTCTATCCTCATCTCTGCAGGTGGTACCTACCCAAAACCAAACATGCGAGAGAGGCCATGCCAAGCTACTCAATCTCAGCTGAGCTGGCCCAGACCAGAAGAGTCCTCCCAACTGCTAAACCGCAAAATATGCAAAATAACACATTTACTGTTTGTAAGCCACTAAATTTTATGGTAGTCAATTATAAAACAAAACTGACACAAATTTTATTATGAGAAATTCCTAGAGGTCTAATTCTAGAGAGCTGATTCTTGCTGTGTTACACTGTTTCCTCATATCTTTTGTAAGTTTAGAGTTCACTCTCACTAAGTTTTATTTGCAGAATACTTGAATTCTGGGTTGATGATATGTTAGCCACCCCAGACCACCCCAGGGCCACTTTTTATGCTGATTTCTTGATTTGGGGTTTCCTGGATTAGTCAAGTATAATTTTAAACTACAAACTAATACAAATTCAGATCCATTGCTACAAATTCATGGGAAAGAGTTTTTGTTTTTTTTGTTTTTTTAACCAAGAAACAGTTTTTTTTTTTTTTTTTAATCATCTTTCTCTACCACTGGGTTGATCTTTTGTTGGACTATCCTTTCCCTGACAGTGTTACCCTTTCAGGTCCCTTAGTTATTTACGTGTATGTTGGAAGAGGGAAAAAGTTGTCTTGATTATAAATCTCTGCTTCCATAGGCCTACGACCACATCTCTTGTCTTGAATGGGCATTAAAGTTAAAATTAAAAATCTCAATAACCTTAGTTACCAAGACTAGCACCTCTCACCCATCTCCAACCCAGGGCACAAGAAGCATCCTCTTGTATCTAAAGAAAAGGATATTTGTTCCTTTTTAGTCCCCATTTCTAGGTGTTTGATGGCAGAGAGTCTCAAACCTCAAATTTATCAATGGTACATTTTCAAAGAAGTCAAGTTCTATTACAAAATTAGAATTATAATTCCAATAAAAAATTAAATATTCTTTAAAACACAGTGTAAAATTCCTCACCTTTGTTAGAATTTGAAAAAACACTAATTTATCATTTCCCCTGAATCCATTAGATAGCATGCAATGGTTAATTAATACTTTAACAGTATTGGGCAGTTCAATTCTTACTTTATCCAGGTCATAAGTTCCACTGTATCTGGGTCATAGAATTCTTGTAGTTCAGTTAATTCTGCCATTAGTTTTGGAAAAAACTGAAATGCAAAAACAAAATCCACCCAAAGTATAAGTATCTAGAAAGTTGAAACTGTTCCAAAGTATTTCAAAAGAAATTAATATAAATCAAACAATTTTACAATGTTCTTCTTATTTTAAAAATATCATAACTCTCTTTACTTTCTTTCAGCAACCTGCTCATTCTTCTCAATCCAAATTCTTTTATGGTTAATATACTTCCTACACTCAATAAATTTCATAATTTCAAACAATTAATCACCAGCTATATCTTTATGCACACACAAAATAATTAATTAATTAATTAGTTAATTTTGGGGTCAAATAATTCACATGTTTATTGGCAATTAGTTTCATGTTATATTATAAGCCAAAAAAGTTATACTATTTTATAGATATTTAAATTTTGGAACTGCCAAAATACTACTTAACATTAAGACTGATTTATTTGGCAATTTCCTTTGCCAATTATAAATTGAATTAATGAAAGGATTAGACAACAGAAAATTGCATCAGATGGCATTCAAAGAATGTTTTAGCCTAATGATTAAAAAAAATACGAATTACTAAGAATACTGCCCTTTATTTTGTTAGAACAGTATTTCCATGTAAGTATCCTACACACACATATCTACCTTGTAGATAAAGAACATTTTAATACAAAAATCTGAATTTCTTACCTCCTTCCATAAGCTGAGACCTATTATAGTGGGCATAGCCATGCTCAGAATAAGAGCCTAGAATATTAAGTAAAAAAGTTACAAATAAATACATTTCAGAATGTACTTTAAAGTACACTGACTCTATGATCAAGCTCATATTAATACAGCTATACAAATTTCATTGAGAAACTTAAGTTAGCATGAAATGGAGTTCATGAATTGAGGTGGGTGAAGACTAATGATAAGTTTAAGACATTAAAGTTAAGGTAAAATGAGAAATATATTCACTATATAAATTTAAGGCAGAACATAAAAATGGTAATACTCATGCAATATTTCAAATAGCAAGTCTGTATTTGACAATTCTGCCAGGAATTTAAGTTAGGAAGAGCACACAAAGGTTACTAAACTGTGACCTAAAACATGAACAACAACAAAAAGACAATGAAATAACACAGAAAAGATGGCTAATACATGTTATCAATAGCAATATACTTGTATACTAAAATTAGAATGTATAAATTCCTCTGGAAAAAGACTGGCAGCCCTGGCTGGTGTGGCTCAGTGGATTGAGTGCCGGCTTGAGAACCAAGGGGTCACTGGTTCAATTCCCGGTCAAGGCACATGCCTGGATTGGGACCAGGTCCCCAGTTGAGGGTGTGCAAGGGGCAACTGATCTTTCACACAACAGTGTTTTTCTCCCTCTCTGTCTCCCTTCCTTCCCCTCTAAAAATAACGAAATAAAATGAAAAAAAAAAAAAAAAGACTGGCAAAATGCATGACTAATATTAAAGATAATTACTTTTATCTTCCTTCCAAAACCTTTCTTCTCATTGTCCTGCGTTCAGTGGTGACCCCATGACCCACAGTCATGCACACCAGAAACACAGGAAACATCTGTGATTTCTCCCTCTTCCTCATTCTCCCGTTTAATCAAGCACCAAGTCTTACTCATCTTCTAACTAGTTTTTTCACTCCAGTATTAATTTAATGAGCTCTAAAGATAGAAAAACCTGGGTGTGAATCATGGTTTCCAGACTTAAAAGCTATGTTATCTCAGGGAAATTATTTAACCAGTTTCAGCTTTAGTTTCTCTGTCTATAAAATACCTATAATAAAAGTTAGCCAACATGGTGTTTTTAAGGGTTGAACAGCATGTGAAATGCTTGGAAAAGTGCCTGACACATAGTAAGTCCTCCAGAAATTAAAGTTTTCATTACTTTCATCCACCATGGCCTGAACCCAAGTGAGAGCATCCTTCCTGGCTCCAGTCTGTAACCCAAATGCCTACCATTCATAGAACTGGAAGGGAGAGGCACTGGCCAGGTACTCAGTTAGAACGTTGTCCTGATACGCCAAGGTTGCAGGTTCGATCCCCAGTCAGGGTACATACAAGAACTGACCAATGAATGCATGAATAAGTGGAATGACAAATCAACGTTTCTCTCTCTCTCTCCCTTCCTCTCTCTCTGAAAATTAATCAGTAAAGAAAAAACCTGAGCCGAGAGGAAACTAGAAGTCTGACTCTCTCACACCTCTAAATGTCGAAGTGCCCTCCCACTGCCTGTCGGACGAGTGCCACGGCATGACACTCCAAGGCCTCTGTGCCCTTACCCTCCTCAACTTCTCCGGTGGCTTTTCTTGACCACCCCTACCTCGCATTCTGTGTGCTGACAAAACTCAATATGCCATGCTTTTCTCTGCCTCTGTTTTTATTCTCTTTGATTACGTCATTCTTTCCCTGCCTGTGTTTATTCTTTCTATAAATGCCCTTTTTTTCTCCTTCATTTGCCTAATAGCTACCATCTTTCAAATGTCACATTGAAAAGTCTTAAAAACTGAATTAAGTAGCCCATCTATGTATTTCAATAGCACTATGTCAGTACTTTCTATTATATGTTTTTATGACCAGGAGACTGTAATCATGTTTTATTTATTTTTGTATTCCAAGTACATTGTACACAGCAGGCACAGTGTAAATGTTCCATTCACACTGAAAACATAGCCAAGTTCTAAATCAAACCAAGAGAGATATAAAAATTAATTCTTGATATGCCCTGGCTGGTATAGCACGGTGGATTGAGCATGGGCCTGCAAACCACACAATCGCGGTTCGTTTCCCAGTCAGGGCCTGGATTGCAGGCCAGTTCCCAGCAGGGGACTCACGAGAGGCAACCACACATTGATATTTCTCTCCTTCTCTCCTTCCCTTCCTCTCTAAAGATAAATAAATAAAATCTTTAAAAAAATTAATTCTTGATAGCCTCTCACATCATTAATTCACTTTCTTTACCTTTTCTGTTTTAAGTTGTCTTCATTAAAATGCCTTTCTTGCCCTGGCTAGTGTGGCTCAGTAGATTGAGTGCCAGCCTGCGAACCAAAGGGTCACTGGTTCAATTCCCAGTCAGGGCCCATGCCTGGGTTTCAGGCCAGGTCCCCAGCTGCAGGCATGTGAGAGGCAACCACACATTGATGTTTCTCTCCCTCTCTCCTTCCCCTCTCTAAAATAAATAAAATCTTAAAAATAAATAAAATGCCTTTCTTTTATAATCAGAAATTATTGAAAAATGTTTTCCACAGGATCTTTTTCTACACATAAATCATAATGTGATGTATTGGTTCTATTTCAATGGTATTCAATATACTTTCCATTTATATAACTAGAAGACAAACGAGTACTTAACCAAAAATAACGATGACTCACCAACAGTACTGGGTGCACGGTCCGTAATCGAAGCCACTTGAAAAGTGTTGTCCAAAGCTCAGGAGAACATACACCGAATGCTGCCAGCATGCATACGTAAGGAGTCCAGAGGTATTTCAAACTGGAAAAGACAAAAGGAGCCACGTATGAGACAGCCCATGAACATTATTATTCTCTGAGTTCTCTTTTCTGAGTTCTTTCCTACTACCCACGAAAATGCCACATTGTTCAGGAAGAATTAAAAGGTTTAGCCTCTAATTTTCAGCAACAGATTATTATTCACTCCTGAAATAATCAAGAGGAAATGTGGGTCACTAAAATGAGGATGCAATAGTATTAATACAGTGATGGTACAGCAAAATTGTACTCGTGGAGGGAATATAAACTTACAAATTTTCAGAAGGCAATTTGGTAGAAGACATATTTTAAATACCTCAAGACAACCTCATATCCAGTAGTCTAGTTTACAGGTATGTTACTGTAAATGTAGAAAGATATACATACAAGGGTTTTAAGTGCAGTATGTTGTTTTAACAGGAAAAATGTTATCAATGTATTGGTTGCCTCTCATGAGTCCCCTGCTGGGAACTGGCCTGCAATCCTGTTAAAAAATTAGAGCCCTAACTATCCGTTGATAGGTATTCATTAAATAAATTAAAAACAAAAAGTTAAACATAAAATTCCATGTATACTGCTTGCCCTTTTTTTAAAAAATTTTATTTATTTATCTTTAGAGAGGAAGGGAAGGAGAGAGGGAGAGAACTATCAATGTGTGGTTGCCTCTCATGCGTCCCCTACTGGAAACTGGCTTGCAACCCAAGCATGTGCCCTGACTTGGGAATCGAACTGCAATCGTCTGGTTCACAGGCCTGCACTCAGTCCACTGAGTTACACCAGCCAGGGCCTTACTGTTTGCCCTTTTAATGTAGATGTATGCTACAGCCAAAAATAACATCTGAACTTCCAGTCAAGATGGAAGCATAGGTAAACATGCTTCACTTCCTCACAGAACCACAGAAAGAATTACAATAGATCTCAAAACAAATACCACCCAGAAATGTCAGAAAATGGAGCTGTACAGAAGTCCAACAACCCCGGACATAAAGAAGCCCCATTCACTGGATGGGTAGGAGGTGCAGAGACCCAGAGATGGACGGAAGGCGTGGAGGGTCAGCGCATGGGCGGTCACACATTCAGGTGTGGTAGATAAAAACTAGGAGTGATACTTTGAGAGCAAGTGATCCCAGCCCCAAGCAAGACTGTATAGCCCAGGGATCCAGGACCAGGAAAATAAATCCCCACTATTTCTAGCTGTAAAAACCAGTGGGGGTTGGTACAACACAAGAAACTACCAGATTTTCAGGAGACTCAGCGTAAAGGGCCAGCATGTACTTAAAATGTATGCAGATGCACCCCCCCTCTGGGACTCACCACCAGGGCAACAGCTGGAGGGCACCAGTCACACAGGGTGAGTGCCAAGCAAACCTTCTGAAGCCAGGCTGTAGTACTGTCCCCTCTCTGAGCCCTCCCCCTACATGGAGTCACAAGTGGTGACTACCCTGGAAATCACCTAAGGCTCTCTCCCACACAATTTACAGGTCGCCTTTCTACAATAGGCCACAACACTAAGACAGAGAGTCAAAGTAGCTCTACCTAATACACAGAAACAAACATAGGGAGGCTGCCAAGTTGAGGAAACAAAGAAATATGGCCCAAATGAAAGAACAGAACAAAACCCCAGATAAAGAACTAAAAAAAAATGGAGATAACCAACCTATCAGATGCAGAGTTGCTCAAAGAACTTATTTCAATGAAGGTTACATAAAGTGATATAAAGAAAAATTTACAGGGAGCCAAGAGTGGAGGGGTTAAAGCCAAGATTCAAATCAACAATTTGGAACATAAGGAAGAATAAGCATTCATCTAAAACAGCAAGAAGAAAAACAAATTCAAAATAACGAGGATAGTATAAGGAGACTTAGGGACATCTCCAAACATACCAACATCTAAATCATATGGATGCCGGAAGGAAAAGAGGAAGAGCAAGAAATTGAAAACTTATTTGAAAAAATAGTGAAAGAAAACTTCCCAAATTTGGTGAAGGAAATAGACATACAAGTCCAGGAAGCACAGAATCTTAAACAAGTTGAAACCAAAGAGGACCATGCCAAGACATATTATAATGAAAACACCAAAGGTCAAAGATAAAGAGAGAATCTTACAGGAAGCAAGAGAAAAGCAGAGAGTTACTTACAAAGGAGTTCCCATAAGACTGTCAGCTGACTTCTCAAAAGAAACTTTGTGAGCAAGAACGGAGTGTCAAGAAATATTCAAAGTGATGAAAATACAAAGGACCTACAACCTAGATTACTCTATCCGGCAAAGCTATTATTTAGAATGGAAGGGCAGATAAAGAGCTTCCTAGATAAGGTGAAGCTGAAGGAATTCATCATCACCAAGCCATTATTACATGAAATGTTAAAAGGTCTTATTTAAGAAAAAGATCAGCCCTGGCTAGTGTAGCTCAGTGGTTGAATGCCTACCCCCAAATCAAGGGGTCACTGGTTCAATTCACAGTCTAGGTGCATGTCTGGGTTGCAGACTGGGTCCCCAGTAAGGGGCTTGTGGGAGGCAACCACACATATGATGTTTCTCTCTCTCTCTTTCTCCCTCCCTTCCTCTCTCTAAAAAATAAATAAAATCTTAAAAAAAAACAAAAAAAGAAAAAGAAGATCATCTGGCTGGTGTGGCTCAATGGTTTGAGTGCCAGCCTACAAATAAAGGGCCCCCAATTGGATTCCCAGTCAGGGCACAAGCCTAGGTTGTAGGCCAGGTCCCCTGTTGGGGGCCTGCAAGAGGTAACCAATCTACATAGCTTTCACACATCGATGTTTCTCTCCTTTTTCTCCCTCCCTCCCTCTCTCTAACAATAAATAAATAAAATCTTTTAAAAAATGGCTAAAATGGTAAATTTTATGCTATATGCTTTCTACCACAATAACAAACAAAACATAACTTAAACATAATGATCTACATGCTTTCAGCATTCATTTTGCATACAAGTAATTTGTCTAACAGAGACTGTTAAAAAACTACAAATTTCTAATGATAACACTTCCATCTTTCATCTAGAAAATAAAGAAGGAATATTCTGGTGTGAATTACAATTTCAGATTAACTAATTAATATTCAGAAACTCATATACTGTTTTTTATTATATTTATATTTATTATATTTTCATGCATCTTATTTACTGTAAAGGATTAACCTTTCCAAAAAAGAAATTTGGCCCTACCCCCAACTTAGAAGATAACTTCTAAGCCCACAAAAGTCTGTTCACAAGAGTATCTTTGTTTACCTGGGTTTATGCCTGATAATCTGTGTTAAGAATGTGATTTATCATTCTTAGCATAGAATGATAAATCTATGATAATCTATGCTAAGAATATCTCCAAGGCCCCCATGGTTATCGGTTAAACCTCTGGGAGAGGCTGGAGACTAAGGTCAGCCACGCAGGTGGTCATCCACTTATACATACAAGATTGAGCCCCAATAAGAAATATAAATACCAAAGCTCAGGCGAGCTTCTCTAGTGGGCAATCCTCCACGCATATACGGCTACACATCATTCCTGAGAGAACTAGGTGACTCCACTGGGAGGGGACAACCAGACGTTCTGTGCCTGATTTCTCCTGGACCTTTTCCTGTGTGCCTCTTCTTTCTTCCCATTTTAATACCCATCCGTTCAATATAATAAACACAACAGTGAGTATAACAACCATTCTGAGTGCTGTGAATCCTAGTGAGTTACTGAACCTAAGGATGATTTGGGGAACCCCAAACTTGTCGTTGGTGTCAGAAGTGAGGGTGGTGTTGCAGACTCCTGTGAGCTTCTGGAGAAGGGGAACCCTATTCTGTAGATTTTTATAATTCCCACCATTGCTAAAATAGTTACATAAGAAAGAACTAAAAACTGCTGCTAAATAAATATATTTTCTAAAATTAGATGGTATGATTTTGTGTAGAAGCAGGAACAAAAGAAATTTGAAAACTAAAGACTTAAAAGGATTCACACTACCTAAATGACTATAATTTATCTGGATAATAATATGTGGATATGCATCTTTTTAAGGAGAAATAGAGAGCATTAAAATGATCAAGCAAATGAAATAGAAAAATTTGACCTTATTGAACACTAAATGGCATCCCACATGTACTTGGTGAGATCAAATGCCATTTAAAGCAATAAAATAAATGAAGTGAAAAAAAGTTGAAAAGAAAAAACAGCTACTCCAAAATCCTTAACAAGACTCACCAGATGCTATGCATGCTCTTTGCACTTCAGCCAGAATGAGTACATTTCATCCCTCACAACAAATCCCTCCCCAGATGAACCACGTCTTCTACCTAGAATACTCTTCCTTCTTCTGTTTACCGAGCTCACTCCTACCCATCATTTAGGTCTCAACTCAAGTATCTTTTCCTTAGAAAGCCTTTCTGAAAGATTTCTTCAATCAGATTCCATTTTTACATGTTCTCATAGCGCCACCTACTTCTCCTTCACTTATCAAAGTTAATTTTATTTTTGTGTGATAAACATCTGTCACCTCCATTAGGCCACATGTCACATAAGGTTAAAGACTGTGTGCCTGCCTGTGTTCACCACTGTTCCTCCAGCACCTGGCACAACTTTTGGCCCTTGGAAGACATTCAGTAGTTTTTGAACAAATGAATGAACCAGTAAATATCAATTCACTATATTATGCCTTTGTAAACTCCAGTCATATTAAGAAAGTTTATAGATTTTGAGTTTTTATACAGTTTTACAAATATATTCTTGAAAGTATCCACCTATTACCATTAGAAAGGACAATGCTTTATAAGTACAAATAGATCAAATATATATATACTTACCCTTCTATAATCATTGCAAGAGAACCCAATAAAATACTGTGAATCACATGATAAATTATTTCTGGCCTTTCTCCAATTCGTCCATCTTCAAGAGTAACAGTTTCTTTCAGGGACTCACCACTACAGAAAGGAAACATGACTTTTACTAAAATATGTATTTGAAAAAATCAAAGATCTTCAATTTCTTCATAGAAAGACATACAGGTGTTCTTAATATTTGAAAGTATATTCTACTTGTCTAATACTAATTTTTCTGTCCCCAAGTCTTTGAAGTGGGCTTTTAGAATCTGAATGTAACTGACTCAGGGAAGACTGAAAATGAAAGCTCAGAAATACAATTTAAAAGTATTTTAGGATCCTTTCTAAGATCAATCATCACTCAACTAGTGATTGCTAAATCAATACAGTTAAATCATAATCTAAAAAACAAATTCTCAAAACCATGATACTAGCTACAACCTCCTTTCAAACATGATAAACATATTTAAAACAGTCAAACATTATAATTTAAAACCACTTATACTACTAGCTTCCTTGAGGTTAAATAGAAGAAATTATTCTTATGTTAAAGTAAATATTTGAATAAATTAGTGAAAGAGTTTGTGTAAGTCTAATTGATTATTTAAATATTACTCCTGCAGTGAATCTGGACATTACATGTTTAGATATATTAACTTAAATTTAAATTTTATCTGGTTCACTTATAATTATGTTTTACATATTAATGAAGAGAGTATAAAATTAGAAGCTCTAAAACAAATACATAAATATCTGAAGAATATTAAAAGAATTTTACATACTTTCATAAAATATTAGTAATGTGATTGATTTTCATAGGTACTTACTTAATTCTCCTAAAAATAACTTGCATCATAGAAAGAAAACAAATAATTAACACTAATATATAGAAAGGTAATAAGGAAGATTGTGTCAATCGCAAAAAAAATTCTTGAGATGGTGACTGCAGGGATTCTTGACACAGGAGCCAATTCATTGTAAAATTCCTACAGAAGACAAAAAGCATATTAAAACGACAGCTGTTTCAACTACTGTTGCAGGTGTTTTTACCATAAGAGTATTTTTATCTCAGTAGAAATTTGGATAAAACAAAGCACATTTCTCGAACCCATTCACTATGACAGCCAGATCCTGCCTTTGACAAGTGAAGATGGTAGCATTAGGAAACCATCCTCAACGAAGTGCTCTAATAAACACAGAACTGCTGCTTTTTGTTACAAGTAATGTTACCATTTCTAGAGCCCAACACAGCTTTAAGAGAGTTTCCCTCTCTATTTTTATATGGAAGACAATAAAAAATTTAGCTAAGCTCTACATTTGCCCCGTGCAATATGTTAACTACTAGGTAACATTAGTACCTGGAATGTGGCCAGAACAAATGGAGATACACTTTCAGAACAAAATACACCCTAGATTTCAAAGATAAAAAAGAATTTTAAAAAATCTCAATAATTTTTGTATTGTTGATGCACTAATATTTTTGATATATTGGATTAAATAACATATTATTAACATTAAATTCACTTCTCTTTACTTTTTCATTTTGGCTACTAGACAATTACATATGTGGCTCACAGTATTATTAGATAGCCCTGATTACTACTGGTAAATGTAACTCAACTGGCATGTCTTTTAAAAAGAGATATCGAATTACTAAACAGAAATCATAAAATTCAAAATGTTAAAACTTTCAAGCTATAAGAATCAGGATATCTGTTTTTTACCCCAGGCTAAAAATGAGCATAAAGACTCCTCGATACATGCAGTTGTATCTGCATTCTTTCCCAATCCATCTCCTACTTCCAGTCTATCCTTGCTCCCCAGCCCTGGGGCCGGAGGTAAGAGACGGAGGGAAGTTCAGGAGTGCTCATGGACTGACGAACAATGCCTGCTTCACAAATCACTAGATACAGAATTAAAGGTTAAAGTTTCACAATGTGTCAAACAGCAATACAGCTGTACCAAGGAGGCTGCCACCAAAATATACCTACCACATGCAGTTCTTTTGAAAATCTGCCTATTAAAGGTGTTAGTTCTATAAAGGTCTAATTCAAACCCCAATTTAACAGGTTGGAGGTTTTCTTTCCAGACCCCCCATCTCAACCTTTCCTTCCCAACAGTCCCACAGGACTTTACTTATCCCTCAATTACAGTCCTTAACATAATCCACCCTGTGTTAGACTGTAGTCATTTTTGTATCCCCTCGAGTATATGGCCTAGTACCCTACACATCCAACAAATATTTATTAACATTCCTTTAGTGGTTCCTGAAAGTGTGTCTCAAAAGAAATGTTTCCTGAAATTCTGGTGAGCTCCAAATCCTAAGACCCACTTGGCCCAATTACACTTGGGCGTTAGGCATTTGTCATTTATACCACCCATGTCATCAACTGTACCAAAACTTTCTTATGAGATGGCACTATTCTTAAGGACAGGGACCATGTTTTATTGTTAAAACACATAGTGCATTATTTTGTAAAGTAAATCCAGTACCTGACATACTGAATAATGAGGCACTATATAGTATCAACTAAGGAACACTGGAAAAAAAGCCCTCAATTCTAGGCTCATTCTAGAGTCCAAGGTTAAAGGGAAAGTGAGTGAAAAGGGCAGGCAATTACAGGCAATTATTAAAGTCTACAACTAATTTTTACTAATTGCCTGCTATGTGTCAGACCTATCCCTGAAAAAGATATCGTCCCTACCCTTAGGAAGTACATGGCCTTTAAAGGACCCGATTATCTCAGACACGGGGATATGACTTACACTTCAGAAGATTCCTGCAGTGTTTAAACCATGTCATATACTTTGTTAACTGTGATGTGTCACCACATGGAATTCCATGCACAGTACCTAAAATCCCATGTAATCACAGCAAATAATAATAAGGTTCTAAGGTACATTATATGAACTAATGAAATGTGTAGATAAAAATATATTTCCTGTTATGCAAATAGACTCTGTCAGCACATAAAATCATGTATTTCATTTTAGGTTTTAAAAATGCACTTAACAAACACACAAAAAAAGGCACAATGCTGTTTGTGAATTTAAAAAGTCGGCTTCTTCTCCAGTCCACTATATGACCCCAAGAGGAGATTCTTTGCTATGAAATAAATATCTTGCTGCCTCCCCGTTTTTGTGCCCATACCCTTTTTTAAAAAAAGATTTTATTCATTTATCTTTAGAGGGGAAGGGAAGGAGAGAGGAAGAGAAATATCAATGTATGGTTGTCTCTCGTGTGTCCCCTGCTGAGAACTGGCCTGCAACCCAGGCATGTGCCCTGACTGGGAATCGAACTGCGATCCCTTAGTTCTCAGGCCCCCGCTCAATCCACTCAGCTACACCAGCCAGGGCAATACCCTTTTTAATGTACGCATTTTGCTGATGTAGTGGTTAACATTACCTTGGTTCTTTATTCATTTTAAATCTTTCATTTATTCTGACTTAGATGACATCATTGTTCCTCCTCAAGGGAGAAAGTAACCTCAAAATACTTTGATGCTACCAAGGTTTAAGTATATCTAATTTCTGAAAGACCTAAATGAGATTTTTTTTAATGAGAGAAAATATTAAGGTCAAGTATCTTCTAGATATATCCCAAATTATTTATTTTCTAAGTGGTATTTAATTAGGTATATACTTCCTCCTTGATTATTTTTGTTCTTTATCCTCTAAGTGATACAGAGTTAGGCAAACTTACATAATCTAAAACTTACTTAGTCATATTTAGTCCAAATTTTACTTCAAGGAATTTCAGCATGTGCCCATTTTCTTTGTGTGGAACAAACATCTGGAGGAAAAAAGAATGATTAGCTATATTTACAGCAATACACTACTGTCCAATGCTACAAACAGAAAACAGCAAGACTACCAAACAAAAAATATGAATGAAATAATATATGGTGTAATTGTGAGGCAAAGAGATCCAGTGGCATAAGTGCATCACTAATGTGATGCACCCTGTACATCACTACCCTGTACCACGTACAAAACTATAATGGGGTAATGAGAAGATTTCAACTTTAGCCCCTGCGTTAAGTAACTTACCCACTCTTCCAAACACCTTTGACTCATCTCAATTTATGCCATATATTACTCAATGTTAATTGCATAATAATGACAATAATAATGACTTTAAATTAAATGGAAAATAAAGTAGATATATTTTTAAACTATATGTAGAAAAGAATCATGATCCTATTTTCTTACTTAATATGCTAGGCATCATCACTGGTCAACACTGGTCAACTAAAAATTTTACGGTACAAGCTCTATGATCTTGTTAACTCATTACTCTCATCAAAATTTAATTCACTAGCCCTATCCGGGTACCTCAGTTGGGAAGAGTAACGTCCTGATACGCCAAAGCTGTGTATTTGATCTCTGGCCAGGGCACATACAAAGAAGCAACCAAGGAATGCATAAATAAGTGAAACAACAAACTGATGTTTGTTTCTCTCTCTTTCTCTAAAATCAATAAATAGAATTTAAAAAACTAAAATGACTTCCTTCCCTTCCTCACCTTTAAGAAAATAAATAAAAATTAAATAAAACTGAGTCTACTAGCCACTGTACGAATCTCAGACACAGAGTCACTAACCTTCATTACAATATTCAATGTCACCGTCAGAGCACACACAAGATAAAAATTAATAACCTTCATTATTTTAGCAGCAAAAGTTCCTTCCTTCACAGTTAGCTGTGGGTGGAAATCAAATGAACAAAGAAGTGAAGTATAAAAAATTACCAATTTAAAAATTCACCATAAGAATGATAAAGGGCAATTCTGATTACCTGAAGGTACTTCACAAACATTAAAGCTACTATTAAGCTCAATAAAGGAGATACCAATAAAGCTGAATTCTCAAACTGCAGTAAATATCCCAGAAATAGAGAAAATATATAGATTTTATAAACTTCATGAATCTGTTGGGACAAAAAAAAAAAAGAATAAGAATATAATGAACTTTATTGTATATATTTTCATTAGTTTTATCTAGAATTTGACTACAATTACAAGGTAAATGCTCTGCTATAATTTAGGATAGTATTGTGCATAACTTTAATCTATTTTTTAATGATATAATACATAATTAATTTATCACTTCCTTCTAAGAATGCTTGCAAACAAAGCTAAAAGCTTTAAAATGATGGATGTCTAAATCAGACTGCAAGAACTTTCTGTAGTCCTAGGCTCTGACTTATTTCACTTAGCTTACCTTGTTATTAAATCCAAAATCATAATCTTCAGCAGTAGTTTCCAAAATCTACCCAGGGAAAATATAAGAGCTTCTGTCTGGAAAAAGTCCAGCCATTGTTAATATAATAAGAGCAATTCATGGGACATGGATGTAACTGGCGGTCAAGGAGAGTGAACTAGACCGCAGAGGCATGAACAATGACGACTTCACTGTACTATTCAGTGGGGGTGGTAGACACCACTGAGTGAGCATGTGTATTGTGTGGCCATCGCATTTAAAATGACTGAGCAAGTAGAGCAACAAATCTGCAACAAATTTTGCATCAAACTTAAACATTCCTCTGCAGAAACTATTTAGATGATTCAGAAGGATTTTGGGGACAATGCAATGAGTGGAGCGCATATAAAAGTGTGACACAAATGCTTCAGAAATGGTCGAGAATCTTTCGAAAGTGATCCACATTCTGGAAGGCCTGCAACAAGCAGAACACCTGAGAATGTAGAACCTGTATGGGCCGCAATCAACAAAGATCAGCAACTGACAGTGTGAAAACTAGAAGCTGAGCAGGGGAATGATTCCAAAAACTACTGTTTCTGAGATTCTGACGCAGGGTCTTGGCATAAAATGTGTTGTGGCAGAATTCCTTTCCATAGCTTTTGCTGCCAGAGCAGAAAAAACATTGTGCTGCAGTAGTTAGTTACTTCATTCAAACAGCTACTAGTGAACCAGATTTCCTCAAGAAGGTCGTAACTGGAGATGAATCATGGGTCTATAGCTATGATCCAGAAATGAAGGCTCAGTTTCCCAGTGGAAGTTGCCTGGTTCCCCATGCCCAAAGGTGTGGCAATGTTGAAGCAAGACAAGACCATGTCAACTGTGTTTTTTGATTAGGCAGGTATAGTGCATCCCAAGTACATCCCTCTAGGACAAACAATAAGGAGTACTACCTCAATATTCCTCATTGGTTGATAGATGCAATATGACAACAATGGCCACAGCTATGGGCAACTGGTGATTGCAGCTTCATCATAACAACATGCCCACTCATGCATCACATCTTGTACAGAGTTTTTTGGAGACACATCAAATCACCCAGGTGACTCAGACTCCCTACAGCCCAGATGTGGTGCCCTGGGACTTCTGGCTTTTCTCATAACTAAGCCAGAAAGGGAAGAGATTTCAGACCTTCAAAGAGATTCTGGAGAATATGAGGAGGCAGCTGCTGGGGATTCCAAGAAAGGGTTTGCAGTGTTCTGAACAATGGAAGAGACACTGGGAGAACTGTGTGAGGTCCCAAGGTGCCTACTTTGAAGGAGTCTGAGGCATCCTATGTGCAATATTTCTTGTATCTTCAGTAAATGTCTCAGTTTTTCATATTGCATGGCTGGATATTTTCCAGACAGACTATTCTTATACAGCCATGAGATGTACCCAGAGAAAAGTATTTTTGTATTTGCTCTATTTAACAATAAGCATAAGAAAGTTAAAGTCAATATCCTAATAGAAGATCTCCAAGGAAGATTATGTCTCAATAAATTTATTTTCTAAAATAGCATAATAATTTAATCTATCATGAAGTTAATTCATTTTAGAAAGGGAAAACTAAGATAAAACATAGGCAATAGCAAGAAAAAAAAAAGGCAGAGTGTTAAAAGCCAAAAAAAATTTTTTTAAGCAGAAAGAAAAAAGCCCTTAAGAGGCCAGACTATTGGGGGGAAAAAGTATCTCACTGTTTGGAGACTAAAGTAATGACTAGGAGAAGGCACATTAGGATCTTCTGGGTGCTGATAATATTCTCTCTTTTTTTTTTTGGATGCTGGTTCTAGTTATTGAGTAACTATCTCTTAGCTCCAAACTTATCCCTCCAACCCCTGCAGCATAATGCTGGGGCCGGTACTTTGAAATCTACATTTCCACTTTTCTGGTTGACTCCCTATAAAGCTCTGCTAATATGAAATATAAGAGAGATTACAAGGTTGGATGAAAAAGAAGGAACTTGTTCCTTCCTAGCACTTCCTGTCTGCTTGCAGTTCGTGTCACCTCAGCGATGCTTCTGCACTCTAACAGAGCACTTCCCTCCCGTTGAAGCCACTGCATGCCACTGACATTTTTCCAACCCTTGAAGAACCAGCTTTACGGCATCCTTCTGCCCCAGAGAGGAGCTCCAGTCTCAGAGGTCTGGGTCTTATTTCCACAGGGCCCTTCTTTCCAGTTTAGAGACACCAATAAAGCTGAGTAGTGGTTCCTCTTCAGAGGCTGAGTTCAGCTCCACAGGGTTGCTCCTCTAAGTTTAAGTTTTAGTAATTCCAAATTCCTCCTTTGTTTCCTTCGCTCTAGGGTGGTAACTGCTTCCTGCAGCTGCTACTCCTGTGATACTTTCAGGTTCTTACTACCCTTTCAATTAGCAAGTGAGTGACTTTATACTTGGTTAATGATTCTTCATCTTAAAATTTCTCTATTCCAATAACCTAAGTAAGTGTTGGTACTCATCAGGATTTTGGACCACGTGAGTATATGGGATGGAGAAAAGGAAGAGAAGAGCCAGAAGATTCCTAAAATCTGACTTGGTCAACATTTTAAATACTTAGTAAAGTTTTAAAATTAAAAAAAAGATAAGAAATGCTGAAAAGATAAAGAAGCAGAAGGAACGAAGCATTGATGGGAACCTTTAACGACCTCTGGCAACAGTATAAACTGACAGAGCGGTTCTGCGGGAAGGCCTGGCATCTAGTTGGGCTGCATGTGCACGTATCCCTCGGTGATTCATGGTCAGGTATGTATATGCACTGGTGAAATCCTGCCTTACATGTCACGTGTGACATGTATAAGAATGCTTGTAGCAGCACAAGAACAATAAACTGAAAAAAAACTAAAATGTCCTTCAACAACAGAATGTATAAATAAAATACAAATGAATGAAATACAGCTCAGCACATTATCATGGATGAATCTCAAAAGCAAATCAGGCAAAAGTACACAACGTATTACTTTCAACATATTTTTTAGGAATACAGAGACAGGTGGCAAAACCGTAAAGAAAAAGAGGAAAGAACTGAGAAGATTCGGGACAGCCAGCCGCTGTTGGGGAGGGAACCGGATGTGACTGGTGAAGAGTGAAAAAGCGACTTTTCAGGGACTCAGATGCGCCACTTCTTGGCCTGGGTGGTCAAATACTCATATTTTATTCTAGTGCTGTATATACAGTGGACACATACTCTTTTGCACGTGTCCTATATTTCACTTTTCTTTCTGTTTTAAACAAAAATGGAAGAAGGAGAAACAGCCAGAAAAGCAGAAGCAGCACAGGATGTCTCTAGTTAAGCAGATTGTGTTTAAAGGAATTTCCAAGTTCTAGAAAGGACAGAGGCGGTGAATTTAGCAATCTCTTGAGAAGTATAAATCAAAACCGACTGAAACATTTAAAAATAAAGCTTAAAAGGTACTTGGTTTTAAGATACAAGACTATATCAAAACATTTATTCCCTGGATTTAAAAATAGCAATTTCAAATAATACCTTGTCACTGAGCTTCCGTGAAAAACTGTTCAGCAAGAACAGAGATACTGCTTGAAGAAACAAGAGGTAGTGGCTGTACTCCCACATCATCATGAACGTGTAGGTTGAAGCGCTCATCAACAAGTAGCAAAACCTCTAGGGAAAACAAAAGGAAGAGACTAAATGTCAACAGCTTTATTACTGTGAAAATCTATGAAGTTGTTACTTCAAGTGGAGCTCTGTATTGGTTCAACTTTAAGCTAATTCTTAAAAGTGTGTTTTAAAGTAACATAATCATCAGTAAATCCAAACATAAATAATAAGATCTTCAAGCACTCTAGAAATCAATGACGTCCTTCAAAGTTCAACATCATACTGAAAATTGCAGGAAGACAAAGGAAAAAATAAAACAAAATTCAGTGCAATTTTCTTTCTCATCCTTAAAGAGGTAAAGTAATAAATGTAAGAAAATTGTGGTCTCTACTAGATTTGGCTCTAGTGAGCTTCTGTTATTGTGAAAATAACTCCTTTCACCCAAGAAAATATTTTCACTTCCATGGTGCTTCATACCTTCCTAAGAGCTTCCATTTTATTGGTGTCTTTACATCTCAGCCTACTGCACAGCCCATGGAAAAAGTCCACTGGTTTTTTAATTTCTTCTCAGCAAAACTGTAGTCTTACCTTTCCCCAATGTTTGCACTATCAACTACATAATACTCTTAGTTGTTTTCCTCTACTGAAGAACTAAACACATGGATTTCATTGCCCCAGTATGCTTAAAGTCAATTATGTCCTTCCAAATGTCGTCTCTAAGTGATCCCTTAGTGAGAAACCAAGTCTGCAGGATATTCCCTGTCCCTTAGCATATTTCTAATAAAATCCTCTACTTCTTCCAGGGATCTAGTTTTTCATTTCCAATTTCTCCAACAGCAATGGTGTCAAATGACTCCATTCTCATAAGAACAGTGAAAGAGAAGGTCAAGTCAAGAAACCTAACATAAGAATCATGTTCTCTAGAACTAGAAAGGTTTAGTCAGACTCAGCTGACTACATTCAATGCTAAATTCCAGAGTCTTAAATAACTTGGGCCATCAGCAGATATAAGACTTTTCCAGCATCCTGAATAAGATTAAGACCACCAAACAAAATGTAAGAGGTGTAAAATTTCCACCAGTTGGTCAAAGAATACCAACTGCAAGGCCCAGAAGGACGCGACACTGCAAAACACACAAGTTTCTTTCCTTCCTATGGCAACAGCTACAAGAAGAAGTGTTCTGGAAACCTTCTAATGTGGAACAACCAGACCTGTAATAACCTGGCCTGAAACCATCATCCCCAGAGAACCCAGTTATAGAAACCAATGAAGGCTCGGATGCCGACTCAGCCTAACCAACCTATTGGCCATTTGGAGAATATTTTGGGCATGCTGGAGAAAAGCTACACTGTAATAAACCCTTGCTAAATCCAAGGGTTTATTCTCATACTTAAGAACATGCAGTGAAAGGGAGACAGAAATACAAGTCAAACACAATCTGGACAATCAGCTAAGTTCTTCCTTTCTCTGAACATTTTCAAAATTCTATGCACTCCTGTCTACTACCTCTTACCTTGCTCACTTCATTTTCAATTATGCCTTCATCATGAATGCTTTCATAGGTATAACTTAAGTGACACATTAGATGGGTTTCAACCCATTTGTCAACCCCAGATGTCTCTGGATGGCTCCAGATGACAGCACAAAAGATCCAAGCTTGGATATGCTGATGCAGCTGGGACCATGCCTCAAGAATGCAATATATGTGATTACAATATGCATGTTGCTGGAATAGAAAAGCAATAAAAAGAAGCAAACTATTGATACATGTGACATCTTGGATGGATATTAAGGGCATTAGGCTGAAGAGAAAAAAAGACAAAGGATAACACACTATATAATTCCATTTATATAAACCTTTCTAAGTGACAAAATTATAGTGATAGATATCAGACCAGTGGTTGCCAGAGGTCAGGACTGAGGGGAAAATGTGACTATTAAGAAGCAACACAGAGAGTTTCTTTGTAGTGATGGGACAGTTTTTTTTTAAATCCTCATCCGAGGATATCTTTATTGATTTTAAAGAGAAAGAGCAAGACAGAGAGAAACATCAGTCAGGTGCCTCCCATATACACCCTGACCAGGGATCAACCTGCAACCTAGGCATGTGCTCTGACCAGGCATTGAACCTGCAGCCCTCTGGAGTATGGGGACAATGCCTCAACCAACTGAGCCACCCATCCAGGTCACGATGGAACAGTTCTACATCTTGATTATGACGATGGTTACTCGAATCTATACATGTGATAAAAATTCATATAACTATACTTCCTCCTCACCCCGAAAAAAGCAGTACATGTAAAAAATTAGAATAGAAAATACACATGTATATTTAGAATTAGTTTAAGATTCATAAGAATTTGCAAAAATAGTAGAGCAAATTCCCTCACCCAGTTTCCCCCAATGACAATATCTTATGTGATCACGATACATTGTCAAAACCAGGAAACTGACATTGACACAATACTATTAATTCAGGTAGGGCCCTCCTTTAGAGTTTAAAACACATACACAAATGATGTATATGTACGTGCAGGACGGTGAGGGGCACACATAACTGAAGATTTGAGCAGTTTGTTTTTAAAAAATTGAATTAAGCTGAAGGGTCAAGAATACACCATGGATGAACTGACCAGATAGCTCAGCTGGTTGGAACACTGTCCAGATGTACCAGGGTTAAGGGTTCAATCCCTGGTCAGGGCATATACAGGAATTGACCAATGAATGTATATGAGGGGTGACCCAACCCCCACCCCAGAATTTATTTATTAAAAAATGGTGTATTTTTTATAAATAAAAAATCCACACCTTGGCTGGTGTGGCTCAGTGGATTGAGTGCCAGCCTGTGAACCAAAGGGTCCCTGGTTAGATTCCCAGTCAGGGCACACGCCTGGGTTGCAGGCCAGGTCCCCAGTTGGGGGGCACATGAGAGGCAACTACACACTGATGTTTCTCTCCTACTCTTTCTCCCTCCCTGTCCCTCTAAAAATAAAATATATATATATATACTTTTAAAAATTGTGTATTTATTCTTACATGTTTAAACTTCAGTCACCTTCAAAGTACTCTCCATTTGATGAAATATACCTATTGAGATATTTTTTCCAATGAACTGTCAGTTTTGATGCCTTTTAGTGCTTCTGCCATTTTTTGTTTTACATCTTCCACACTGGCAAAATGTTTCCCTTTGAGGAATTTTTTCACCCAGGAAAATGGGGGAAAAAAGCCTCTTTGAGTGAGACTTAGTGAATGGGGCAGGCGTGGCATGGGGGTCATGCTGTTTTCTGGCCAAAAACTGCTGACACTCAGCGTGGTATGGGCAGGTGCACTTGTAAATCACTCTTTGTGAAATGAGCAAGCACACTGAAAGTCTTAAAAAAAAATTCACTGAAGCCAAACAGCCTCTCACAACAACCCAGCTGGTCCACTGATACAGACGAGTTCCTAGAACACTCACCTAGTGGGGGAAGCCTGTACTACAAGGGCTTGCCCTCCAGAAGATAATTCTGGTTTTGGAGGGTTCCCCCTAGTAAATAAATGGAACAAAAGTTAAAGAAAGAGCCCTGACTGGAGTAGCTCAGTAGATTGAGCACCAGCCTGCGAACCAAAGGGTTGCCAGTTTGATTCCCAGCCAGAGCACATGCCTGGGTTGTGGGCCAGGATCCCTGTAGGGCGTGTGCCAGAGGCAACTGATGGATGTATCTCTCGTACATTGATGTTTCTCTCCCTGTCTTTCTCCTTCCTTTCCTCTTTCTAAAAATAAATAAATAAAATCTTCAAAAATAAAAAGATTTTTAAAAAAGAATACACCATGGTTAACTTGCCTTTTTTCTTCAAAAAAAATTTTTTTTTTTTTTAGAAAGAGGGGAAGGGAGGGAGAAAGAGAGGGAAGGAAACATCAATGTGTGGTTGCCTCTTGCACACTCCCTACTGGGGACCTGGCCTGCAACCCAGGCACATGTCCTCCTGACTGGGAATTGAACCAGCGATCCTTTGGTTCGCAGCCCACACTCAGTCCACTGAGCTATACTAGCCAGGCTTTTCTTCCATTTTAAAAAATAAAATTCTTAATGTTGTTATCTCTGTAATATTTGTATATAGATATTTTGCTCTTGTTGCATACTGCTGAGTATCACCAAGTGAATAGCTAGTTATAAATAATTAAGTAACTGATAAATATGATTTTACCCCTTTATCTTAAATATTAACAGAGGAAGAGATACGGAGGGAGAGAAGAGAAGATGTTAAGAGTACTTTGAAAATACAGGAAGATAATTGTAGTCAAGTAAAGGAGGAGAAACAAAATATAATCTAAAATGAGAGTAAAAGCTATTCTTGGATCCCTTCAAAAAGTACAGGATCCTTACTAAAGAGTGAACTGGACGGAAATAAATTTTTTCACTATATCCATTCGCATCTACAACATTTTTTACCACGTGTGTGTGTGATGTGTATCTATTACTGTTCCATTTTAACAAAAGTTAAAATGAAAACATATTAGAATAAAGAATAAATACATAACATGGCAGTGAAGAGAGATGGCAAAATACCAAACATAGTATAGAAGGGAGAACAGAACTGCACCTTCCCCTATCTTTTCCAACACTCCTTCTTTTAAAGTAAATAATGATTTTATTAAAAAGATGATTAAACCTTTTTTATACAACAAAAGTTTCATTTTATTTCACATAGTGGTATATACAAAGCAGATCAGGCAATTCATTTTATTCTAATGAGCTCCTTTATTCCAAAGTCAGAGAACCGGTCTTCCCTGGGAGAAGGCTGTGCAGTCCAACAGGGGGCGCTGAATCGCAGGCTCCCTGGCTATTGAAGGAAATATTCCTGCTCAGAAAGCTCTTTATACAAACACAACAAAAGGAACTTACAATTCTGACATGTGTTAGTGTTATTTTACAATAAAAAAGGGAAATACTAGTGTTATAAAAATGAATTTAAAAGTCTGCTATGCTGAGAACATTTGTCATCACTGAAATAAAAGAGAACAGTCCATTTTTCTGAGCTTTCTAAAAGAAACTGTATGTCCACCTTATTTCCAGCTGACCGAGTTCCACAGAAGCCTTCCCTTGATCTGTGAGATCTCTTTTTCTAGCTAGGAGTTCTTAGCCCCAGATAGACTGTCAAAAGATTGCTCCATTTCAGTTAATTTCAACATAATTGGTTGCCTTTAGAGTCACTTATTTTATACATTTAAAATCCTTATTCTGAGACAGAGTCTGTAAGCTTCATCTGATTATCAAAGGAGTTTATAGCACAACCACAACACAAAGAAGACAAAATCTAAACTATCTAAGACAGTCTCCTAAAACTCACTAAACTGTCCTGGCTGGTGGGGCTCAGTGGACTGAGTGAGGGCTGTGTACCAAAGGGTCGCCAGTTCAATTCCCAGTCAGGGCACATACCTGGATTGCAGGCCAGGTCCCCAGTACTGGGCACTCAAGAGGCAACCACAGACTGACATCTCTCTCTCTCTCTTTCTCCTTCTCTTCCATTCTGTCTAAAAGTGAATAAATAAAATCTTGAAAAAATAAAAATAAAACTCACTAAACTACCTATACCTCAATCACAGAAAACATAAAGGTAAACAGAAAAATATGCAGTCTACCATACAAGTTAACATTGCTGTCAATTATAGTCACTCTTTACATTTCATTAATATTTAATTTGTGATGACGTAAGGCCATCAGTCACATCAGAAGTGAGAAATGGTAAAATAACAATGAGATATTAATTTTGAAAATAAGTTATTCTTCATATATTTGTAATAACTGCACTAAAACAATATAACATCCCTTTTCTACTAAAAATACTTTACTGTCAATCAGAGTACAGAATAACAGTATTATTTATAACAAGACTACCTAACTATATCCTTTATTATGTAGTAACTAGGCTTCACTGGCTTTAACTTGACATGATTAGCTTTAAAATTATGTACCAGATTTGCAGTATGTCAGAATTGTGAAAAATAAATTTGTTTCTTTTCCCAAAATTATTTGTATGATTAATAAAAATAAATCACAACTTGTGGCAGAAAAAAATTGTATCTTACCTCTCCATAAGCATTTAAGTTACTTTTTAAATAGCCTGTAAGTGCAGCAACTTGGCATGCAAAATATGGTAGCGCCCAGTTTTCTCTCAAAGGAATGGAGTATTCGATTCTTGTTGTATCTACCCTAAAATAAACCACAGATGGAGCAAAAGAGCAAGACATTACATTTGTGTAATACTACACTTTTCACAGCAATTGCACACACATCTCATTGTTCTCCACAACAGTCCTGTGACGTAGGCATAGACAGAGCCAACCACTGCCTATACAGCGTCTTGGAGCAAAGTAATCATGTCTCACCCACAGCCCTTGAAGACTGAGTGCTGTTGTGCGTTCTTGATAAATAGATGGGCCTCAGTGAGCACTTGGAAAAAAACCCAGCATCCCTGCTCTGGCAGACACAGCCTTGTGCTACAGCACACAGCTTGCTCCAGAATACGCTGGATTTCAGCATGATGTACACCACACATGGTTAGCAGGCCTGGCAGACCCAAAGTTCTTAACACACCGGACGTGTGGAATATAAAGCACAGAAAAGTGATACGACTTACGCAAGTCATATAGCTAGTATGTGGCACAAACAGACTTATAATGCATATCCTCTAATATTAGATTGAATAATCCTCTAATATTAGATTGAATATCCTCTAATATCCTCTAATATTAGATTGAATAATCTTTTCAATCAGTAGCTTACCCAGAATTAACATAGTTCCTTATGTTGTGTATCCGGAGACCTCTGAAATTCTCATAATCACAGATAAAGAATGTCTTTTTAATCTCCTCCTTAGTTTCTCAATCAATCTTCATTGAGAGCCTGTTTTCCTCTGCATATCCTCACAACACATGAAACCACCTTTTCAACATTCATTAAATTTGGATTTAGTACTCTGTGATTATTTTCCACACATACAAAAAAACCCCAAAGGTGCTATTGCTTTAAAAACTTTATGTAAACTGCTGCAGAACTCTCCTAGATAACAAAGATAGACATGCTTACATGTAATTTAGTTCAATCAAATTAGGTATAACCATATAAAAGGACAGTGATTTTCAACCTTTTTCATCTCATGGCACACATAAACTAATTATTAAAATTCTGCAGCCCACCAAAAAAAATATTTTTGCCCATCTGTCAAAAAAAATAGGTATATTGCCCTGGGTGGTGTAGCTCAGTGGATTGAGTGCAGGCCTGCAAAACAAAGGATCGTGGTTCAATTCCCAGTCAGGGCACATGCCTGGGTTGCAGGCCAGTTCCCAGAAGGGGATGCACAAAAGGCAACCATACATTGATTATTTCTCTCCCTCTCTCTTTCCCTTCCCCTCTAAAGATAAATAAATAAAACCTTTAAAAAAATATGTATAATTTTGCTTCATTCACACTAGACAGCAATTGTGTGTTGGCTGCTGTCATTTTTCTATTTGACAGTCTAAGGGAAAAGAAGTCAGTGCCCCTGACTGAATACTCAGGTACTGCATGTTTTAAACATTCTTGAGGAGCACAAGTTGAAAATTGCTGCCAGTAGGATAACTTAGCAATAAAAAGAAATGAAGTATTGATGCACCCAACATACATGAATCTCAAAATAATTATGCTAGGTCCTGGCTGGTGTAGCGCAGTGGATTGAGCGCAGGCCTGCGAACCAAAGCGTTGCCGGTCTGATTCCCAGTCAGGGCACATGCCTGGGTTGCAGGCCAGGTCCCCAGTATGGGATGTGGTAGAGGCAACCATACATTGATGTTTCACTCCCTCTCCCTCTCTTTCTCCCTCCTTTCCCCAACTCTCTAAAATAAATAAATAGAATCTTTAAAGAGTAATTATGCTGAGTCAAAAACATCAGACCAAAAAAAGGCATATGTTGTCCTGGCCGGAGGCAAAAGCTCAGTTGCTTTGACTGTTGTCCTGATACGCCAAGGCTGTGGGTTCAATCCCTAGTCAGGCACACACAAAAAGCAACCAAGGAATGCCTAAATAAGTGGAAAAATAAATCTCTCTCTCAAAAAAATCAATAAAATAAAAAATTTAAGGTACATGCTGTATGACTCCATTTATATAAAATTCTAGAAAATGCAAACTAATTTAAAGTGTCAGAAAGCAGATCACTGGGTTCCTGGGGAAAGTAGGGAAAGAGGAAGAAAGAGGGAGGGATTAATGAGGTACACAGTAAACTTTTTGGGGTGATAGATGTTTATTATATTGATTTTGCCAATGGTTCCATAGGTGTGTTTACAAAATACCTAAATTGATCAAAGTGTACACTTTAAATATGTACAGCTTATTCTATGTCAATTATACCTTAATAAAACTATTAAAACGTATTAGAAAAACCTGTCTTCTATGAATGCATACGTAATTGAACACATATGTTAGAAACAGGATCACATGTGAGAATGAAATGAAATCAAAGCCGTAAAAAGAACGGAGGACAGTGTGTCCAACCTAGTAATAGTATTGGAGCTCAGCTCTTGCATAATTCTGTAAAGAACTATTTTTTACTTAACCATGTATTATGAGCATCTTTCCATAATATACACTGCCAATCAATAGACTTCAAGAGCACTTGATGACACACCACTGTACAGATCTATCCAAGTCCCACCAATTCCTTCTTGTTAAGTACGTACTTTGTTCTGACTTTATCTATTACAAAGTTTTTTAAATACCTGAACCAATGTTTTTGTGTAGTAATCATTGGTTTCATTGTTTCCTTTAATCAATTTGCAACTTATTTTAGTATGTGTGCAGTATCTCTTTTCCAGATTTGGTTGTTCTAACACCATTTATCGAACATCATGTATTCAAAAGGTCACCTCCGTCATACAATTTTATTTCTGAAAAATTGTTGTGAAAATTAACTTTCTAAGAGACAAACAAGAGACTCACATGTCATAGTCAGGAAGGAGGAGGAAGGAGAGGATGTCTAGTGTCAATTCAGGACCGTGCCAAACCCCCATCAGCCCAGAACCAGGAAGCATAACCAGCAATGTCTGTTGCAAACGGCCACACACTGCCCCTACCCAACTCACAAAGGAGTGCAAGGGAACTCCTGCTGCTCCAGAGGACACTGTCTGGAGAAGGGAGAAAGGGAGAAAGGGATCCCTCTCTCTAGTAACTATGGCGCAAAGTGGAATCTCTGGCAATTACTCTCTACACCTCGACAAGCCTTCCTGAAAAGCTGTGCTATTCACGCTCTTCCCCCTCACCCTCCTTGGTGGTGGTGAGGCTCAGGAGGCTAACAGTGGGATGTGACAAAATCAAGTTAGACCCACTTTTTCTCCCCAGTGACGGGTTTTAACAGATAGCAGCACAAACCAGCAGTGCAAAACAATACATGTTAGATCAAATGAGGTTCGCAGACCTGCAGACGCATTCAGAGATTGGCACACTTTGAGTTTGTGTTTTTATTTTAAACACAGCAGAGTCCAAGCACAATCTAAATTACCTGGATGACTACCTTGTAACTCATTATTGCCTAAAGCTCTCAGAACTCACTTTCATGTTTGTATTAACAATATAGCTGGCAACATAGTACTACTTCAACTGGCTTGGGTTAATCAGGAAAAAAAGAGATGGCCCTAATACTAAATGATGTATTCCAAATAAAGACAATGTCGTGATCGTGGTGGTAAAAAAAGACCTCACAGTGGAACAGAGCAACATGATGAGAATGGAGTCATCTCACAGTACCCAACTGTGTAGGTTTGTCACATTCAAAAGAACCCGCTGGGCTGACACCGTATTTACACTGACAGTAGGAATTTGGCTTCAGCCAAACCAAGTTAATATTTTATTGTTTTGTTATTTCACTAGTACCATTGCTTCAATAGTAGCATAACTGCTTTTATGCACAGGAGCTTTACCTAGTTGTATATGTAAGAAACATAATTTAAATTATTTAAGCCAACAAACAGAATCTAACAGAAGTTTAAATATACATAACTGAAGTGTTAGAAACAGTGAGATCACATGTAAAATAGTGTGGCCTGTCAACATATGTGAGAAACTTGAAAAACACTTATATAATAAATGTATAATATATAATATCAGTATCACTTCTAATGTCTGCATGTTCCCTTGCACTGATGTATTACAATTTACCTAACCAATCTCTTGTTTTTACGTGGTTTTCTAATTTTTTGTATTATTACAAATAATACAATAATCAGTCAGTTAAAGTAGTAAACTGTTCCCTTCTTTTTTGGACGACTTCCTAAGAATAAAACGGAATTTTGAAAACCTGCCACCTAAAATTGAAAAAACACACACCTCCGCGAGCACCCTGAGTGTGCCAGTACCACCCCGACCAACCAGCCCACGCGTCACCACTGCTCTCTGCGAACTGCTGCTCCAGGACACGTGCATTCTCTGCATCTTACCTCCTTACTATTACCAATGTTCCATTTCCTTTCATCTCTGCCAGAGATTAAATTTACTACAGACTTTTAATCATATTGCTTTTTCACTTTTTGGTTAAGATCAAATGTAGACCTTTAAACCATATATATTTGCTTGTCAAATACAAAGATGTTCCAAGTGACAGTGACACCCAGGTCGATTGTGGGAGATGAGAAGATCAGTGGGGACAAAGAGCGATTCCCATATTGTTCATGTGTGAAACTGGGTTCAGGTCAGCCCACTTTGATGATAAACCTGTTCAAAGAGAGTCAGCTGCCTCTGAACCCCTGCCACTACTGTCTGGACATGCTGTTTCCTGAAATGTCCTTGAATTTCCTAGTGCGCTTCCTCCTTGGGTTTGATCAAACAGGAGCCAGTTTTAAGAAACAAGTAACACAAACTACCATTAAGAACACTATTAATGATCATAATAGAATGACTGAAATTTTTCATGCTTTTCTAGGCAATCATATATAAGCTCTAAAACTGATAAATAAAAAAGAGCATATTCTTTCCTGGCATTAAAATATATTTTGCCATAAAGTTGACCTTTGAACAAAGCATGGGTTAGGGGTGCAAACCCAGCACAGTTGAAAGTTCACACATAACTTTTGACTCTCCAACAACTCATGCTGTACGTTGGCACCTGCAAGGGACTGGTTCCTGGACACCTCTCCCCCATGGTTACCAAAATCCAAGGATGCTGAAGTCACTTATATAAAATGGCA